TCTATTACTCATACTATTTAAATACAATATTTATTAAATCAACTGTTATTTGCAGCATCTTCATTTTAACTATATCTTGAATAAAATGAGGGGTTAATACATATATTAATAACAATTAAAAAAAGTAAAATAATATCGACACTTGCAAGGCACATCGCTGTAACTTAGTATTGTAACAATTTTGAATTAGGACTTAAAAATTATATTCGAAAATTACTTTTTATTTCCTAAACTATTTCAGTAATAAGTTACAACGTTGTACTTTGTACATGTTGATATATTAGAAGCAGTATTTTGTTCCATCTCTATCATAAACGAGTACTTAAATGTATAGCCTCATATACTCTGCCAATTAGATGTAAGGGTTATTGTAGAATTCAACTGCAGCTTCCGTTTGCTTGTAAAATACGTATTTATAAGGAATCTGCCTGTAACTTCTAGATATGTCTGTACCTATTGTCTTATTCAAATATTATATTTTTTAATCTACTTACTCTATTTATCTCAAAATAATTTAAAATCTCTTGAAATCAATATGTATGCAATTGTACATAATATGATACATATTTTTCGAAATTTATGAAAATGTTTATTCTTCATATCGAACCTGTTGTATTTGATAATAGTTTGATTTCAAAACTTGGACGTCTTGATTTATATGAAAGAACGGACGGGTTTTCGGAGGTTTCATGAGTTTGTAAGTGTTTTTGGAAGATTTTTATACTTCATCTACAAAGCTTTTCTGTCCACTATGAATCTGTTTTGGAAATTATGATCATTTGATAAAAACGTCTAGCTATAAGAGTTATGTACTCCGCTTGAATTGTTTAAATTCTTATATATATATTATAAATATCAAAAAATATGAATACTCTGTTTTAGACATGATTGTTGTGCGCACAAACTTTTATTAGGTAAAAAATATATCTATCTTGGAATTATGGCCTTTACGTCTCTTATATACATATATTTACAAAAAAAAGTTTTAAATTATAATTTTTGAAATGGAATTAAATACAATAATTTTTGTGTTATATGAAGTGAACTTCATTTTTAAACTTATTTAATTATCACTGCAGTGTCAAAATGTATTCAGTGTACAGCCCTTTTCTTTTCTTCCCAGCCGTTCTCTCAAACATGCAGGTTTCTTCACGATGTTTTCCGTCACCGTAAGGTAATCATGTTGAAAATGATTCGCACAGACCGACATGACGGACACATACAGAGGTGCGAGACCCGGGAATTGAACTAGGTTTCCCAAGCATCCATTGGGCTATCACTGCTATGCAATATTAAAAGTATCAAAATAATGTTATGCCCCATACAGTTCCGTCAAGACAATGTGTGGCGTAGAATATCGTCACAGCAAAGAGTGTCTCGATATTTACGGAAAGCATAGAAAAAAATAAAAATTCATTATGTTTTCTCTGTCGAGCTGGCGTGTACATAACGAATTATTGTGAACACCCATGCAATTTACATTAATTGATTTTGTTATCTAAAGAAACTAATAAATTCAAGAATCTATGGGAAAGTGAGGTAAAATCGGGACACTAAGGGAAATTTAAAAAAAAAAAATATTTTAAACATAAATCGACTTTATTAGGCTTTGTTTTTGGGTTTTGGACTAATCTCCCCTATTTGTGGCTCAGTCCTTCTTTAACACAACTATGGATCGTTATTAAATAAACTCAATGTTTATTGATCGGAGGGTAAAAGGAGTTAACTATTAGTACTATTCTGATATATTCCATAAGATTTAATATGTTGCGAAATGTCGTATATTTCACTCGAGGTCTAGAAACGGGCCGTAGTTATTATATAAAATGAAAACCGGTCGAGTCCCAGTCGAACTCGCATACCAAGGGTTTTGTGACATCGTACAAAATATAACACTATGTATTTTTTAAATATTTTTGTAAAAGAAACATTTTTTTCTAGTTAGTATGGCAGCCATTTTGAAATTCGCCATCTTGGTTTATTTTTATTTTTGTATATTATTATTGTTAATAGAACTGAACGCGCTGACCAATACCAGCATAATAGTTTTTTTTTTATTTGAATGGCGGCCATTTTTAAATTCGCTATCTTGGTTTTTTATTATTTGGTATTATAGCGGCAATAGAAATACACACTGAAAATTCCAACTTTCTACCTATTGAGGTTCATGAGATACAGCCCGCTGACAGACAGACGGTCAGGAGAGGCTTACTAATAAGTTCCCGTTAGCACCATTTGGGTACGGAACCCTAAAAATGACATTGAGAAAGAGTAAGAGAAGAAGGTAAACACGTCAAGTGGAGTGCATTTAGTGATTAACACACTTCTTATGATCTAATTGTAAGTATTCCGAGATGGGTTGTGAATATTAGGGGGCGTGTGAGAAGCTGCAGTGCATTGTTAGATATTGTACCACGTTTTTATTATATCTGATTTATTAATTAAAATAACCTATACCGTACATAAGTTAAGTGTATCGTGTTTGAAAAGTTTTGGGGTAAAATGAAAACGTGGCGTTTAGCCGTCTAGTTCTTCGGAAAAAGTTGTTTTATTTATATATAACAATATGGCCATATTTTTTTAAATTGTTTAATTAAATTCTAATATATTTTTATTTACTTACGAAGTGTAATAAATTCGATCGCACCATTTTTAATGTCGGCTATGATTTAATGTTTGTTTTGTTTTTATGTATATATTTTGTTTTTTTTTTTTATTCGTTTGTCGTGTGGCATATGAATATGCACCGCTTGAGTGTACATAAAATTGAGATGTTTTGCTTTTTATGGGTTTCTTATACATATTATCAATATAATGTCATATTTACTTTTGTTATTATATTTAATAATAGAATGATGTTGTTTTTTTATTTGTATATTTTGGTTTAAAATTGAAAGAGTAGATTTATATTACCCATAATGTGCCAGATAATGTATTTAATTTTAAGAAATATAAAATAAACCAAATGTCACAAACTCAATTATTTTAATAACATATACATTACATGGAACAATATTGTAACTCAATTTAGGAAGATTTAAAATAAAAATGTTTATTTTTTTCAAAGACCTGATTTATAATACCGAGTTACAATGTTGTTCTTGTTAGAGTCAACGTTTTGTTCAATAACTTAAAAGTATTTAATTTTTTAATTGCAGTCTACTGTTTTGTTCGATTGTGAAACTGCCATGAAGTATATTAATTTTGTTCTTACGATATGTTTGGGGGATAAATGCTTTATGATTGAAAATACTTTGATTTATTCCAAGTGAAATATTATTATTTATAATGCAAGTGCAAGAGTTTTGCTTTATAAGTTAAAAATTAGAATATTTTTGTCAATCTACGTGACATTGGCGAAGTAATCTGTGCTCAATTGGTACGCTTTGAAGCCGTTAACAAGAAAATTGAATTGAATATTTCTGTCAATCAGTGAAACAATTTAAAATTTTACGAGAATTTCCTAAAAAATGTGTAATATCTAATAATTCTTACTGTAACTTTATTATTATTTTGTACTTGCATTATTCGTAGATCACTTCAATGAATGCTGTTAAGTGAAGTCTAGGCGGCTTTCACACAGAATAGTTCTAGTCATTTTGATTTCCCGTGTTGTATGTACACGGTACACACGACTAAGTATGCCTGTATATGGGTAGACAATATAATAATCAATATTAATGTTATGAATATATTGTATAGGTGAAACTTATCTATTAAATTTGATGTCTGTTCTATATGTCTTTTTATTTTATATCTACCATTTTTTAAGGTTCATTATATAGATCAAAAAAGTTCTAGAAACGCAATTTAAGTTTAAGGTTGAATTCACATTGTTGTATATTTATTTCAACTAGAATTACCTAAACACAATTGGTGATAGTTTTATGAGAACTTTTGCATGGAATTGTGTATCTAGTATTTTTTGATCGATGGTTCATTATCTAAATGGCTTATACTGAATCCCTTATCATTTCGCCATGTCCGTCTGTCCGTATATCAAGTCATTGTACTTAAAGATGGGGCTATATTACTAATAGGTAAATAATAGGCTTGAAAATTCAGTAGTCGGATGACAAAAAGTAAGAAAAATTGTAGTGGCACTCCATAAATGTAACTGAGGGATGAAAAAAATAATAGAATAAAATATGAGGTATCTATCTTAATTTGTCTTAAATATTCAGATAGATGTTATATACAAATTATATAAATATAGATTACTTCTCTGTTTGTTAATTTAATTTATTACTCTTATGTTATTGTGTCGTTATGACGGGGATATTCTAAGTAAACCAAATATTAAATTGATGCGATAACTTAAATATATGATTTTTCAAATATTTTTTTAACCGTTATTATGACAGAAAAGCAATTTAATGTGTTCTCGATAGTTTAATTTTTTTTAAATGAGCCTTTATTAGAGATTTTTGGATTTTTCTTGAAAACTACTTCAGTTACGTATTTAAAATAAATACTTATAGAACAAAAATAAAGTTTATTATCTGCCGTTAAAACAAAGTTTACTTTGACCAATTGTTATTCTCAAAATTAAAAAAAAATATATTTTAGACTTACGTCCTTTAGTTTTGTGCAAGAATAATGTCGATCGTTTATTCGATATTCAACCTTATTCGCTAGTGGTTACAGTATACGAGCTCTCATATTATAGGAATTTCAGAGGGTTTTTTTTCAGTGCCTAGACTTAATATACCGGTAAAAACCATTTTAAATTAATTTGTGTAGACAACCTAGCGGTCGCAGAACCTCACTTACGTATATACACGAGTTAACATTTTCTATTACAATCATTCTCCTTTTCTCTCACCTCTGTAAGTAGTTAAAAAAGAAGTCATAGAAGATGACAAAATCTGTCAAAATCATCATACCATCCTTGATTTGTCATCCATGACACTGATACCATCAACATAATGTTAGGCCTAAACCAAAAATAAAAATATTTAATAACAAAATCAGTTAAATATAACAAAAAAACATTAACCATGCTTCGTGCAATGATAAACACGGTCCGTCCAAACTACCAGTTTATCTCCAAAGCGACTTATCAAAATTATGTGATGTCCGATGTTCTAGCACAAATAGAACGAGAGTGTGAAAAATTCTGCCCAGTACCACGATTTCCACCGAGAAAGGTTTGTAAAACGTTATTAGTGTTTTCACACGTCTCCGCCCCCGTCGTTTAATTTTGTAAAATTGTACTGCTCTCATAAATCGTAGTGTTCAAGGGCCTATAGGCTATATAGTCCTTTCTGAATTAATAGGCTAGAAAATGCAAAAAGAATTTTTTTCAAATCGGACCAGTACATTTAGTTATTGGCATGTTCAACCAAACAAACTCTTCAGCTTTATATATTGTTAGATTAGACTAGCGACTCACCCTCGCTTTGCTCGGGTTCGTCTCTAGATACGATTTAACGGTTAGTATAGATTTCTCAGATATATTTTCCCGCAATAAAAAGTATCCTATATGTTGATCCGGATAACCAGCTATCATCATACGAAAATTCATCGAAATCTGTCCAGTAGTTTTCTCGCGATGCATTCCCAGACACAGGCTAAAATTCTAAAAACTATAGATTCGGCCTCTCTTGATAATGATGACTGTTTCCATAAGATTTTACAAAAAATATTTGATTTACAGATTCGACTTAGAATTTTTTTATATGTATAGATACTAGATAGATAAGGCAATTACTAACAATTAATATAACTGTGTTCAAAAATTAAGCAAAATTTTCAGCAATTGTCATTATTAAAATTTAAAATCAATTTCTGTTGGACATCCTTACTTCCCTTTAAATATATGAAAGAGTGTGTTTCTTAGTTTATTGATTGGATGGTTTATCATTTTTTTTTGCAACATCGTTTCAATGGATTATGGATCGATCTAATTTGTACAAAGATATTTTATTTAGTGAGATATTAGACTTGCAAAAGATTACTTAGAGACCCTATTAGAAGTGGTAGGGTAGGGTGACATGCCTATTACTTACATGATAAATTTATTTATTTATTTTGTTTATTTGTTTTTCAAGGGCAACATTTAGTGCAATAAGTAATTATAGCATTATAAAATATATAAAAGCAATCCTAAAACCAATATATAAAAGTTTCCACAGATCTACTTACATCTACCTTTATTTTATCTAAATATTGCTTAAAATGAAAAATATTTGTTCAGGTAACAGTGATAGGAGCTGGCAGTGACGTTGGTTACATAGCTTCTTTATTTCTAAAACAGCAAAAGGTTATAAAAATATTAGCCTTATACGATGAACCGGACCAGAGAGTGCTTGGGGTGGCGAATGATTTAGCTCATATTGACACCAGCCCCGAAGTCGAAGCGTATCAAGGCCGCATGTATCTGAAGAATGCTCTATATGTAATGTCTTTTATATATTTTTCCACTATAATATTTATATAGCTGAAATCATCTGCTATACCAGATATCGCAAGTTTGATTACTGTATAGAGTATTATTCATATATATCTACTTAAATATATCATATCCAGGACATTTTGATTAAAGCTCGTAGAGCATATATATGTATGTATATGTATGTGCACGATAAGAAAAGAGCACAGTAAATTAAACAAAACGTACAACTTATCTTTTTACTTAATACTTATACTATATACGAGTACATAGGTATAAAGCTAATATCAGAGTGATGACTAGGTTTTCCTGTTTACTCCGGAATAGCAATTATAAATACTACTGTCATTTCCAGCCCTAATTATTCATTTCTTAAAAGACTTATGATAAAATTAGTTATTAAAACTGTTATTTGCTTATAATTATATTTCCTGAAATTACTGTATTACTTGTAATACATTTTCTATAATAGAATTCTGACACTTGTTATGTTCATCATATGTTATACAGGATGCCGACGTAGTACTTATATGTGGTGGACATTATGTAATGCCTCCTTGTTGTGATAAACTCGATCGAGATCTTTTCTTTGAGAATATGCAACAAGTTCGCACAGCGTGTATAGCGTGCGCACAGTTCTGCCCCCAGGCTGTGATTGCTATCCAGACACCTCCTGTTGATTGTAACTACGCTCTTTGTGCACATGTTAGTTTTACATTATTATTACTTTTTTAATAAAAGTGATAGTGAAAGGAGAGAAAATTAGATAGAGAGATTGGTCATAATAATAGTTCTTATCTGTGAGTAGCAAACAATGATTCTCTTTTGATTCTACTTTACAAATTTTCGGCATGGCATTCCGACTTGGCTGAGAGACTAAGAAAGAAGAGTAGGTACTTCCTAATTCAGGCCGCTAAGAAATACTTTTATTTAAAATTATAAGGTTTTCCATTAGATTTGTGTCCGTACATTTAACCCACCTCATTTATAGTTTAGATGATCCATATATAAAATAAATTTAATTTTAAATTAATTTCTACGTTATTATTTTTTAGACACTCAAATTATTCCATGTATACGACAAACATAAAGTGCTAGGTGTAAACGCAATAAACTCGATGCGAGCCAACCAGTTGTTTTGTTCGATCACTGGTTCGGATCCAGCGAGCTCCCAAATACCTGTGATATGTGGTACCGGGAGATGCACCAGAGTCCCTGTATTCTCTGCGGGAAAAGCTGGAAACTTTCCACAGGTAGATCTCAAGTTTTGAACATAATAATAATGTACGAGAGCTTTCAATTGAAGGTTTTCCTCAAGATTTTTCTGTGTCCCCAACACAGAATTCTGAGAAACATACATAGAGCACATAGATCAATCCAGACGGTAGACAAACTACTGATAGTAGACAAATTAAGTAATATTATATAAATATAAAAAGATATTATATATTTTTTTATAAGTATTTTAAACTTAAACTTAATACACTTAACAAAATGTGTATGCAAGAATATTTTTTTCCTACACTCACGAGACTCGCCCGAGGCCACAATAATTTCCCTAGCGACCTATCCAGTTTCAAAGGCCAATGTCGATAAAGCGATCATTAGAGAGCCTTGGCCACGAAATTGATTGGATTAAGGGTCACTTTACTTAGATAATGTATCTAGGGTAGGTAATGTAGGTGTACATAGGTGTAGGATCTCCTTATAATTATATAATTTTAACTTTATTTTCAAAATATAAAATCACACTCAGTCCCACCTGGGGCCTGAGTTCGTACTTCTTCACCCCCTAAACTGCTTGACCGATTTTGTTGAAAATGTTTTTGTGTATTTATGCGGTTACCTGGGCTATCTATGCTTAGTTATAGTTGGACTCGATAGGTGGCGCTGTTGACAATCCAGATATTTTTTTTACTTTTGACCAATGAGGCTTGTGTAAAGGCTACCAGATCAGCTATTATGTACGTAAAATTCTTATAATTTTTTGAATACAAATTCTACTAGGGTATTGTATACTGCATGGTAATATTTTGGTTTTCTTATATTATTTGTTTATTGACATATACTCGTATGTACAGTGGTTTTGCTAACTTACGTTTGATTCTCAAACAGAGCATAGTAGGTATGTATATAACATAATATTATTTATTTTAACATAGAATTAGTAATTAATTATTTAATAATGTTTTAGACCCAAGTAGACTGCCTCACAAGATTAGTGCGAGAAGCAGACGATATAATCTGTAAAGTTAAGAGCAACAATGCACAAGGCTACTTATCTATTGGCTTCTCAACGGCCCGATTCGTTGTCAATATTATGAAAGGTTTGTTTCATACATTTCTTCATACAGAAATATTTAAATATAAAAAAATCTTTCATTAGACATAGTTTGGCTCAGTTTGTAGTGACCCTACTTGTTGTGCCAGCGTTCGCGGGTTCGAGTCCTGCTGGGGGCATCAATTTATGTGATAAGCACGAACGCTTGTACTTCAGTCATGGGTGTTTATATTTATAATATGTATGTATTAAAATTTACATACATATATATGTGTAGTGTATCTACTATCTGGTATTCATAACACTAGCCTCGTAGCTTACCATGGAACTAGATTGTGCTGTGTGTTAATGTCCCAATATATGTACTGAAGCTTCACATTACTCGTATATCCATTAAAATTATATTAATTCGTTCGCTTGCAATATAATTATTACACGATAACGACTAACGATACGACTTTATATTTAAAGAAGTAAGGATTTAAAAAAAAAATACTAATTCTAGTGTTTTCCTAGGATTATTCGAAAAACCCGCTTTCATAGACAGTGCCTTGGTAGAGCAAGCGAATCCAGAGAAATGTTACAACATGTCGGTGTGCGCTACACCCGTTACTATTGGGAAGGCCGGTATTATGGAATACGCTGTGCCAAACTTGAATGAAGCCGAAACAAGACTTTTGGAAGACAGCAAGTAAATAAATTATTGATTTTCATGATTCCTTACTCAAGTTATAATGACGGACTCTTAGTAAACACATATGTTGCCCTTTCGTCCGTATTACATTGATCTGGGTAGATCATTTGAGCCGTAATAAAAGATAGCCTATAAAATTCCACAAAATATGTACTATCTTAGCATATATCCTCGTTGTGCTAGCCCGATTTGCACTTGGTCGCGTACATATATTTATGATGGCTATTGTCCACCTGTGTAATTTTGATTGGGGTCTTCTAACGACCCCTATAAGGAGAATGAAGAAACGGCTTTAGGACGGAGCCACTTGGCTGTGAGAACTTCTCCCGAATAATATAGGCCCGTCCTTGGGAGGTTCATCCAGGATCCTTCAGGCGTTGAAGTGGAGAAGGAGCTGCACGGACAATCAACCCAGCCGGCTGACACTCTCAGTTACCCTGAGGGAGGCCCAGCTAAGCGATCAGCGACCGTTGTTTGCAGCGACGATCTGTAATTTTGATTAATCTAAGAAGTATTATTTATATTATGTCTCCACAGCCGCATATGGACTTTGACCTTGATAAAGAATATCCTTCCAGTTCGATATGTTTCCAGCTTTCTTTCTCCAAATCCTCACATCAATAGATTTCAATCCTCTACACCGTCTGACCTGAGTTTACGCTTGCTTCTATTTCCGATCATCTGGTTCAGAATATGTTAATGGTTTACTATCTAGTAGATAGTAAAACCGAACTATCCATTACATACATAAAATTAAGTCACGTATGGAATTTTTAGTGCATGCTATAGTTACATTTTATAATCTCCTTGTTCTTTTCAAACAGATGTGACTTAGAAGATATGTTGAATCTTGGTCGGTGTCACGCAGTTGGTGACGAGTACTGCCTTCATCCCGCCAAAATATGTCCCTGTTGTGTTTGCCCCCCGTGCATACCCTGTCGCCGTCAATATAAAGTTAAGTAATTAATAACGAAAAAATACTGTCTTATGATATTATTGTTGAAATGAATCTGACAATAAAAAATGTATAACTTTAGTAGCTTTTTATTTCATCTTCAACAATGCAAAAGTTTTATTTAAAGGTTAATAAAAATAATAGAAAAAAAATATTATTTTTTATTACTTATTATAAATTGTTCTGTTTTGCTTTTCTTGCTAGCTGTTCATACGATTGTAGTTCTATTTATATCTCATTTTATTTATTTGTAAATTCCATTGCACTTGGCAATACAATTGGACTTACTCTCGACCATTCAAATTAAGGCCAAACAAAAATCGTTCAGCGATCTGAAGCACAATAGTAAGTATTTATAATAAAAAATATCTTTTGAACGTTTGGTGCACCAGTTCAATAATATTGATTTAACAGCCAAGCTTATAGGGAGTAGGTTTCAATGATTCAGAGATAGGTTATCAATTTTTCTGATTAGAAAAATTTCCTTCGTATAGGATATGTCAGAACTTATTTTTATTGTACTTAAGTGATGGTCTGAGTTAATAAATAGTTTTTATGTATTTTAAGCGATCTCGTACATCTAAAGCAAGAATACATATTAAGCTTTCCGATCTAAGTTTTACCACACAGTGATGAGCTTAAACTTAAATGATAGGGTAAATATCATGAAAAAGTGGTAGAGAAATTAACTACCTCGTTGGTCTAATAGCAAGCAAGTACGGCTCCAAACCCGGAGGTTCCGGATTCGACTCCCGGAATTCGCTAAGTATAAATATACTTTTATTTAAATTATATTGACTTTTTATGTCAAGAAATATTCTGATATTTTTATTCACCGCCTATTTCCCAGGATGTAGGCGGTATTTCATTCCCGTCTCGAACAACGCCTGCGCTCGATCACGTGTCTTATTATCGCCCCACCGTAGTTTGAGAGTGAAAGGAATAGAGATTGCACTTGTTTTTGCGTGTATTATAATATTTTCCGCGCAGTCGGCTAGTCGCAGTGAGATTAGCTGTCGTGACCGTAACCGGACAGGAGGACAATATAAAAATTCATACCTGAACAAAACCACAGGCAACCACAAGTTCAGTGTATTTGAAACCTAATTAATCTTTCATCCAAATATAGAATTTAATAAATTCAATTTAATAGTTTTTTTAAATATTTATATGTCACTAGCATTGCCCGTGGCTCCGCCCGCGTTCAGATGACCAAAAACCTAATTGTTAGGTTTTACATATTAGTATACTCTTACAATGCAGTTTTTGTGTTTTTGTATTTTTTCTCAGAAATGAGATATTTTCCCGCGGTTAAAAGTAGCCTATATGTTGACCCGGATAACCAGCTATCATCATACCAAATTTTATCAAAATCTGTCCAGTGGTTTTCTCGTGATGCGGTAACAGACAGACAGACAGACAGACAGACAGACAGAAAGACAGACAAAAATTCTAAAAACTATAGATTCGGACTCTGTATCGATAACAATGTCTATTTCAATTAGATTTTCCAAAAAATATTTAATGTACAGATTCGATTTAGTTACAATTTTATTATATGTATAGATTAATTATTAATTATTATGCGAATAATTTATAATCCATACTAATATTATAAATGTGAAAGTGTGTTTATTTGTTTGTTTGTTTGTCCTTCTTTCACGTTGAAACGGAGTGACGGATTGGCGTGATTTTTTGTGTGGAGATAGTTGGGGGGAGATAATTGGGCTGGAGAGTGACGCAGGCTACTTTTTACCGCGGGAGCTTACCTAATTCCCCCTGGAAAATACTTTATAATACAATCCAAAAAAATATTTATTACCAGAATTACTTGAAACTAAGTATTAATACTGTTCAACAAAATTAAATAAATAAAATATATACGTATTATAAAAATAAAAAAACCCGTCTGCATAAAAGCTAACTAAAAAGATGAAAACAAGTTTACTAAGGAATTACGGAGACATACACGTTTCATCCTTGCCGCGAGATGTACGTATGTATAATCGTATGTATGTCTCCGACTGCATAATAATATATTCCTTCGTGAACTTGTTTTCATCTTTTTAGTTAGCTTTTATGCAGTCGGGTTTTTTATTTTTATAATATATTTATTTACTAGCTGAACCCGCGGCTTCGCTCGCGCTAAAACTACAAAAAAAACCTCTAAAATGGTAGGTTTCATACAAACTTTCATCCGCTATTTTACCCCCTTATGGGATGAATTTCGGAAAATGCTAAAATACGTATTTAATTGATTGTATTGAAGAGCATTTATACCAAGTTTCGAGTAATTCTGATCATAAATATTTTTTTGGATTGTATTTTATCGTGTTTTCTTATGGGAAAGACATAATTTCCCGCGGTTAAAAGTAGTCTATGTCACTCTCCAGCCCTCCAACTATTTCCACACAAAAAATCACGCCAATCCGACAAGCCTTATTGACGTGAAAGAAAGACAAACAAACAAACACGCTTTCACATTTATAACATTAGTATAGATTTACAGCTTTTTAAGTATTTTTAAGTAGAAAAATTAGCGAGAATGGTTGTTGACCAACTTTAAACGATTATATATCCTAAACTGTCATTTGAAATGAAAAGTGATGAAGGACACCTAAAAATGATTTTTAAATACTTATTTAACGATACCCCACTGGACATAGTTCGTCGAATTTCATTTTTTTCTTTTTCACATTAAGGAATCTAGCAGCCCCCGTTTTTATTAATTTTTTATGCCATCTATCTAAGAATGCTTGGATTAATGAGACGAATCTAACGATACCTTAAAGAAATCCATCGAGTGGTTTGGAAGATAGTAGGAAATAAAGAATATTACAAACATACAAAGATAGGCGCGAAAAACAACCCTTTTCTTGCAGTCGGGTAGTAAATACTTGTTTTAGCATTTTTCGAAATTCATCCTATAAGGGAGTAAAATATTGGATGAGTTTGTATGAAACTACTTTTAGTTTTTTTTAGCGTAAGCGAAGCCGCGGGTACCGCTAGTATCGTATAATAATGAAAAACAAAATTTTAACTTTTATCGCAAGTACATACAAAACAGACAAAGCTAAGGCGGTCATTAGTTCTAGTAACATGTATTAATGAGATTATCTAACAATTGTTCTCAGCGAGCGTCAGGACGGATTTAATTTTGTCGAACAAGGAAAACATCCAGTGTAAGAAAACGTGACTTTGGTTTGGGACGAACTCTATTATTAACGTAAATTCAACGTTATTGAGTCACCCACAGAATATTTATTAAACAGTTTTTACTTAAATAATTTAAATTTTTAAATTAATAATTACCAAGATTGTTAATTTTTATATACACAAGTACATAGGTATTAACGTAAAGTACGTATGTAATAAGTAGTCTACACGTGAGTGATATACTAGAAAATGTCCCGCCAATTTACTTCCTGAATTTTTTAAAACGTTGCTTATATTATTCGTCCGATTGAACTGATAGAGTCGCTTTTAAATATAAGTATTTGAAAGAATTTATTTAATTTATGTTCAAGGATTCATTTTTAAGTATGTACGTAAATGAACAGCTATCTAAATAATAATACTTATTTATCCAGAATCTATACATATAACAAAACTGTAACTGATCGTTGTCTGTATTTGAGAAAAAACTATTATTGGGGGTCTTTATTAACGCAATAGAATCCAAAACAATAATTTTTAGATTTTTTATCTGTTTTTCTGTGCGTTTGTGCGCGCTAATCTCAGATACAGCTAAACCGATTTGGGTGCGATTTTCACTAATGTATTGTGATAAGCTTGTTTTATTTCTATCGGTTGATAAATAAAAAAGTTATACAGAATATATTTGTAACATATTATATAAAATGTACCTACATAAGTACGTAATATTTGGTATTGGATAGATATTGAACTTGTAGCTTGGCCTTGTTCCGAGGAGGTCGAATGTCCCCTACATCGGGATTATTCTCACAGCCGCTATGGCTCAATTTATAAAAACTCAACGATTTATAATCGATATTTTTAATATTATGTACTTATTATAAAAATTGCATTTACACTTTCACTTTGCACTTGACATGTTTCATTGATAAAAATATTTAGTACTGGTGAAGGTCAATATAGCGTTGTTGGACTACTATTGTAATGCCGTATGTGTGTGTTTGTATGTTTTCTGCTCCTTCACGCTGAAGCAGCTGGATAGATTTTTTTATTGGTTACTGTTAGGCATATAGGGACGCACCTGAAGGCATATAGGATTTAGGGACACACCATAGGATAAGCCTAAGTTAATAATGCAAATGGTGATTTTCACCTCTGTGATTGTATTAACATTACACTGATCAAGATATTCACATAACAAGATTTAGTGATATCAAGAAAATAAGTACGGGTTAGTATTTTTATTGCAATACAATGATTTTTTACAAAATCGCTGGCGCCTATGAATTATGATTTGAAAAATTTATTGCCCTTCTTCACTTGAATGTCAGGTACACTCAGATATACATCCTACTCAATAAATCACTCACACACACGCACAATTTTTCGCATTAATAAGAGTAATTTGAATGCTAATTAACATTGTAGTTTTAGTTAGTTATTAATATTTTAGACATTATTTTGTAAGATTAATCAAAATAATTATAAAATTATGTTTTAAATAAAGAGCAGAAGCAAGATAAGTACCTACATAATTCTAATTAGTTTTTTTTAACGAACTAAAATATTTATATATGTATAGTATTAAGCAAAAACAAGATTTTTTTAAGTTTTAGAATTATGATTACGAATAAGAACGTAATAATGGTTATTTAAAACCGTGAGCAATATATCTCTGAATATATCCATACTAATACTATAAATGTGAAAGTGTGTCTGTTTGTTTGCTTGTTTGTTTGTCATTCTTCACGTCGAAACAGAGAGACAGATTGACGTAATTATTTGTGTGGAGGTATTTAGAGGGCTAGAAAGTGACAGGTTCTTTTTACCGCGTGAGATATCCCAATCCTACGGGAAAACACATTATAATACAACCATCAACCTACATAATATACAGGGTCATTTTTAATGTACTGAAAACCTTTTGGGAATATACTATTTACATCATAACAACAACATTTGTAACAAGAAAAAATAATATTTCTTAAATTTTTACTTTCATACAAAAATAAAAATATTTTTATTGCACCTTCTAAACGGTAAAGTTCTAGCATCTGGCCAAGTTTAAATGAGTAAGGTACGTTACCTAGGGACGAACTGGAGCGAAGCGAGGGTGAGTCGCTAGTATAATATAAATTAAAATGATTTGAACACAATATACTGCATTTTTTTGTTGTGAAAAATCTAAATTTTTTACTAGTCGCGTAAGTTGTAAAACATGTACATACTTGATGATGGTACTCTACAATTTATTTTGTTTCACCTTTATATAAGAAAACTGTGACAATGAAATTTTATATTGTAAATATAAATATTTGTCCCGTGCAGTTATCGAATTTGCGATCTTCGACATACCTCCAGCAAGAGACACATTACACAGCGTTATTACGTTCATTTAGTCTATTCTCATAAATAAACTAGCGTTTGCACGCGCCTCAACTTGCACGCTACGACGATAAAAATAGTAAAATAATATATGTATAGTATAAATGTTTTATTTTCCAGTGAAGTTATTTCGAAGCAAAGCCAGCCAGTAAGTAGCCAGTTAAGAAATTTTGAGCTTGGCTTTTTTGGTGGTCAGCGAATGCAAGCAAAAAGATAATTTTTTAAATATTTATTTTGGTTTTTGTGCCATATACTTAGATATATGAGCTCAATGTAGTCATGTTCGTAATCCAAAGTCGGGTTTGTTACAACACTTATAACTCGAGAACTGCTGGACTGATTTTCATCGTTTTGGATTTGTTGGATTTTTCTCCGCTTAGAATAGCAGAATAATTATTAAAACATCAGAAAAATTAACAAAAAAATATATATAACGCTGGTTAATAACTATTTTTAACTATTTAAAACATATCGAGGGACGAATGTGAGCGAAGCGAGGGTGAGCCGCTAGTCACTAATAAAGAAACTTTAATGATACATTTTCACTTCGTAATTTCAACTGTTTTGAAGTTTTATAACTAAGTATAAACTTAGTTATAAAGAGATGTTCAACATTTTGAAAATAGTATAAGCTATTTTCAAAATATTGCACGTCTCTTCCTCTAAAATAGTATAAATGCAAAATACCATTTGAACCTTGAGTAAATTAGCTAATAGTACGTACGTAATAGGATAATAATGCAACGATCATAGACAATTGATGAAGTTCATTGCAATGACGTCTAACCTCTGTCAAGATGATCGTTTTGATGTTTTTTCACTTATCTCTCGAACTTTCTCTGGGTAAAAACAAAGAAAATGTAATGGTTTCGCTCAATTCGTTCTTCGATTACAGTTATTTTAACACATCATTTTACAGTAACGAATTTATACCAATACTCTTGATTCCCCATACAAACTTTCATCCTCATTTTCACCCCTTTAAGGGATGATTTCCAGGATAAAAAGTATCCTATGTCCTTCCCAGGGTTTGAAAATATCTGTTTACCAAATTTCATCTAAATCGGTTCAATAGATCCAGAGATTACCCCCTACAACGTCACAAACTCACAAACTTTACCTCTTTATAATATTAGTATAGATAAACAACTATATAGCCATAGTTTTTATATAATTATTTGTCTAGTTACAGAATCAAACCTGTAACCTTTTGTGAGGTACACTTAATCGTATACTCATGCTACTATTAACACAGCAGTCAGTTTATTGAAATATGATATTGCGATTGCAATAAGTAATTAATTTATTTAACGTAAAAGTATTACAAAAAGTTCTGTTTCAATGGTAATTTAATTACCAAAGCGCTAACAATTAATGAAGTAGCGCATATAATAGCGCTAAATTAATTAAAACTTCAATTAAGTTAGCTTTTATCGCAGCATTAAGGGAATTCAACGTCGGAGATCGCGGGTTCGATGGTTGATAATGAAAAAAAAATCATATCACGAGTATGATAATGGTGGTGATTGATTGGATATTATAATGAAAGATTTTAAAAACTGCTGAATAGATTTTACTGAAACTTTGCAATAATACTCGTATATGTTACTATCGTTGCTAATTCTAATGACCAAAATCTAATTCTCAGGTTTTACATATTATAAGTATACTCCTACAATGCAGTTTTTGTATTTTTTCTCAGAAAGGAGATATTTTCCCGCGATAAAAAGTATCCTATATGTTGATCCTGATAACCAGCTATCACCATACCAAATTTCATAAAAATCCCTCCAGTGGTTTTTCTGTGATGCGGTAACAGACAGACAGACAGACAGAAAGACAGACAGAAAGACAGACAGACAAAAATTCTAAAAACTATAAATCCGACCTCTGTATCGATAATAATGTGTATTTCAATAAGATTTTCCAAAAAATATCTTATGTACAGATTTGGCTTGGTTACAATTTTATTATATGTATAGATAAATAAATACATCAGAATAACATATGAGCTATCATTTATCCTGGAAAATCAGAAAATGTTGCACCTGGACATAGTTTGCCTTGGCAGACCTGGAAGTTTCCTAACTCTTGAGAGAACTTAGAGTAAATCGTTTTTAAGTGCGCTTTCCTTCATTAAACATCGCGTAGTGCACGTGCCGTGTGCACGACACGTTTTTCAGGAAGGTACCGCCCGAGTCAACGGTGTTTATTTATTTTATATATGAGTTATTCTATAGAAATCAATCCTTGAGTTTTAAATTTGCTTACTTAAATCTATATAAAAATAGACAAAGACAAAACAGTTCCGTATCCGTATCCAATTTTCTCTTTTTGTTTAGTAGCTATTAAACAACTTTAGTGCTATCAATAAAAACACACACAGTGTCACACAATCTCATTGAGTCAAGTCATTTCTGTAGATATTATAATGCACCATTGTGTACTAAAATGTTTAGGTTCAATCTCCTTCTTGTATTTTTTCAATATTCTGGCCCAATGGACAATAACAACAACAATCCGACAAATATAGAAAAGGATTATGCGTAGGAGTTATAGCTTTACAAATTACATGTTCACATGACTGCAATTTCTCGATAGACAAAATTCAATAACGTTCGAAACGGGACTCGAACCAAATATCAAGATTTGTAACTATGAATTCTCACCATCATCTTGACCATCAAAATGTGTGTAAAATGACCACTCGATTTATCGAAATAAGTACTCTATACCATTCACCGATTAACATAATTATGACGTAAATTAAAAAAAATATATATAGATTTGACAAAAATTGTTTGAAAGAGCTACAAATTGAAATCGCTCGCAGTGTAGACGCACGTCTGGCCTTGTCAAATACCGTGGGTGGGGTTTTCTCCAGCCCCTGAAACTCTATCATTTCAGTTGTCCATGTCGACTTGTTCATGTGCTTTGTTGTTCATCTCTAAGGAGTTTCATATAAAAGTGCTTGTGAAAGTCTACATATTTAAATAAACTTTATAAATAGAGGTAAATTCAATTTCCATAAACGTATAAGTTTTTTAAGCTTTTTTAATACATGAAATATTTTGAATTTTCTTTTAAAAAATGTGTTTTTATATACTTTTTGTAGTAACGATGACTGAGAGTAAGGTGAAATATTATCCTAATTGCGATGGCAATGTCTGGTTGAGATCTTGTGACGTAGAGGCGATCGAACCTATAGATGGCAATATTACAGGTATGTTAATTTACATTATAATATATAATTTACTAGCAATTTTCCATATTCCTACTATATTTCATATAATCATTTAATAAATCAATTTATGAGTATCTTCAAAATAGAAATTTGGGCTAAATATCAAAAATATAATTAGCATATTAAAATTTATACCTAATAGTTCTATGAATCGTTTCGTTTATCTTTAATTAAAAATATTATAATCTTTCATAATTTCTTTGCAACAACTCGTGAAATAATAGAAAATATTAAAATATATCAACTAAATATTATAATTACACAAAAAAAAATGTTTGTTTGGATTTTAGTAGTATAAACACTAGGAATAAATAATTATTAATAAATATAACCAAATTACAACAAAGAAAACGATTACTTTTATTTATGAGAAAGTAAACCTACAACTTTTTTAAACCAAAATATAACTATCTAGTATATCGGAAATCGTAAGTTTTATATAATATGGTAAATGTTACGTCTTAACGTATCGTAGCGTCTTGTTAGAGAGTAATTTTTCTTTATACAGCGGAAACTACGAGCAAGATCTCTTCGTGTAATTTGCCAAGGAACGTAAAAGCTACTCGTATTGATCGATAAAATATTCTACCTTTATAAATGTCAAAGTTTGTATTTGTGTGTGCGTGAATTTTTGTATTATCATTCGTTTTAAGTTATAATACTACATAGTTTTAAGTTATAATAATACATACATAGCTTATGGATTAACATATTATAGGTTATGTTTTATTTATTGACGTATTGTCGTCTCAGTGCTTATATTTTGTACAAACCACGAATTTACCGAAAGTCTATTAAATATAAAATTATAGATTTTGAAATGTAAATTTTATGATTATAAAATACAAATTTTATCTATATAATCAATACTATCTTTATATATATAATTCTTCTGTGAGTGTGTATGTCACTGAACTTCTCTCAAACGACTGGACCGATTTTGATGAAATTTTTTGTGTGTGTTCAAGGGGATCTGGTAATGGTTTAGATTCACAATTTGAATAATAATTTTCATCAAAATGGTCCAGAATGTTTTAGCTTATTAAAAAAAGTTTGAAATTTTCAAATTAAAGACGTGTAGACAGGACAACGTCTGTCGGGTCCGCTAGTAATATTATAAATCTGAAAGTGTGTTTGTTTGTTTGTCTTTCTTTCTTTCTTTCACGTCATAACGGAGTCACGGATTGGCGAGATTTTTGGTGTGAAGATAGTTGAGGAGCTGGAGAGTGATAAAGGATAGTGATATATATACATACTTTTTATCGCGGGAGATCATCTCATTCCCACAAGAAAACACGTTATAATACAATCCAATTACTTGAAACTTGGTATTAATGCTCTTACAATTTTATTTTATATTTTACAATTACAATACAAATAAATAAATAAATACGTGTTTTAGCATTTTTTCAGATTCATCCTATAAGGGGGTAAAATAGGGGGTGAAAGTTTGTATGAAACCTATGTAGGTAACCTACCTTTTTAGATTATTTTGTAGTTTTAGCGCGAGCGAAGCCGCGGGTTCTGCTAGTATGTATATAAATTTTAGAAATTTTGTTTTTAAAATAGAGGAAAATACTCTACTGTACAAAACAAGTATTGGTCGTTTGAACAAATATGTAACCATCAAGGTAACGTATTTATAAATTTATAAATTTTTAATATTTATTTGTTTAGGGGAATTACCTTCGTGGCTACGAGGAACTTTGCTACGAAACGGTCCCGGCTCATTGAAAGTTGGCACAATGAGGTTTAAGCATTTGTTTGATAGTGCTGCCCTCTTGCACAGGTAGGTCAAATTAAACATACACCCTTTCTGTACATAAAATATTTTTTTGTTTTATATCAGGTGGATGCTTAGGACGGGATGATGTAGAGGTATTTTGTACCGATTCGTTATTTGATGCTTGCACTGGAGCATACGGCGGCATATAATTTTCCATGTAACTATTAAGCCAGTTACTGTACAACTAATGTATAATTATTTGTCCAGCTACTTTATTTTGTTTTTTTTTTACTTTAAATTTAGACCTGATCTGGATAAAATATTATTTATTAGGTCTAGTTAAAAAGTTCAAAAACGTGTTGAATAGAAATAAAGCTCCTAAAAGTATGTGCGATAGCTCATTCGATTCGGAATGACGTCTAAAAAAATGTTTTCTAAGTTTTTGTTAATTTCAAAAAAAATATAATGAACAACATAATAAACATTAATTATTATTTTTGTGCATAACTTTATTAAGTACCTAAATAAGAAGAGCTCCACGAAGCAAAAAATTTATACGAGACCAATTATTTAAACTTTTATGCCGTAATTTATAAAAACAGAGATTGGAAAAAAAAATAGTTAACAATATATAGTGTCTGTTTCGAAAGCTTTAAATTAAAGATGGCGGTCCTAGATTTGTAAATACCCATACTTTTTCTCTTATCTTCATTGTTTAATAATCAATAGCTGGACTAATAAAAAAGTATAAAAAGTGCTATAGTAAAATCATTACATTTTCTCATTTGATGAACGCTGAAAAGAATAATCCCTCGGTCGGAGTTTATCCTTCATATGAATCTGGCTATAATTACTGAATAGAATTGATATAACATCCGAAACATTTATGTAAGATACATAACAAATGTAAATTTTTATTCAATATATGTACATACTATTGCTAAATTATATTTTACTTACTATTGATATATGGCAACCTGCTCGTTTGAGAGAACCTGTTTAGTCCTTGAAAGACGCGTGGGGTCCACCAACCTGCAACTTCAGAGTGTGCTCTACGACATATTCCCCTTTGCATTGAGGGGAATCCCATGACCAGCAATAGAATGTTAAAGAGGATTAAATTATTTTATATATTGCAGATTTTCCATTCAAGATGGCCATATCACATACCAGTGCCGCTTCTTGCAATCGAACACATTCAAAAGAAATCGTGCAGCAAATCGTATAGTTGTTACGGAGTTCGGCACTCAGGCTGTGCCAGACCCTTGCCACACTATATTTGATAGGTACGTAACGATCATCTATACATATAATAAAATTGTAAATAAGCCGAATCTGTACATTGAATATTTTTTGGAAAATCTTATTGAAACAAACATTATTTTCATACAGAGGCCGAATCTATAGTTTTTAGAATTTTGATCTATCTGTCTGTCTGTTACCGCATGACAGAAAAACCACTGTAGGGATTTAGATGAAATTTGGTTTGGCGATAGCTGGTTATCCGGGTGAACATATAGGATACTTTTTACCGCGGGAAAGTATCTCATTTCCGGCAAAAAAATACAAAAACTGCAATGTAAGAGTATACTAATATGTATAACCTAATAATTTGGCTTTTGGTCATCTGAACGCGGGCGGAGAAATGCTAGTCATACCTAAATTGCGTAGCGATCCTTATTATGTGTGTCAATGGCTCTACATGTAGAATATTCGAGTTATATAAGTTTTATTTCCACAGGATGAGAATTACTTATTTTTGCCCTGAAGATTTGTTTCAAAGTTTCGGTATCACCACTTAACGAGAACAAAAGTCTTATTTCAATATTTTTTTGAACAAAATATTTGACATGTTATAAAATTTTGATAGATTGTTACATTTAAATGTAACTTAATAAATAATTATTGAAATGCTTGATAAGAATTTGGTTTCAGGGCATAAAATTTGGTTTCAGGGTCTCAGCTCTCTTTAAACCGGGGGATTCAATATCGGATAACGCTATGATATCAGTCTATCCTTTCGGGGACGAAATGTATGTATTTACAGAAGGGCCAGTTATACACAGGTATATGTCATAGAAATTATTTATTAGAATATTATTAATCTTGAATTATCCAAATAATTAAATGTAATGCTGTACTTACTTCGTAAGTGGACTTGAGAAAAACTCAATCGATGTGACCACTTTTTTTAAATGTTCGTAGAAGTGCAATTAAGCTTTTAAAATTTGGTCCCCCTCGTACTCGGGACGACAATTCATTATGACCGCTGAGAGATAAGGCGTAGGATTGACGGCTTTACGTGCTCTCCGAGACAAGGGAGTGCAACACCACCTAAGTCCGGGCTGTTATTAAGAGTTTAATGACAGAAGAAGTCAATAAATAACTTCACCAGACCTGGGACTTGAACCCAGAACTTCCGGATTTTCAGCCGTACAAGTTAGGCACTGGCAGTTAAAGGTAGAAGAGGCAGCCGCAAGTACATACTCTAGTGTACTGTCCGGCCCGGTCTCTCTCTTTTCTCTCAATTTTATAATATAATGATGATGATGATGTTCTCCTGACCGATTCCGGTCACGGCGGCCAATCTCATTGAGACTAGCCAACTGCGCAGGAGATATTATAGTGCTCAAGTGTACGCGCAGACACAAGTGCACGCTCTATTCCTGTCACTCTCATACTCCGGTGGGACGACTCTTCGACACGACCGATGAGAATTAAGGCGCAGGACCGACGGCTTTACGTGCTCTCCGAGGCACGGGGGTGAAGCAGCGCCAATAATAGGGTAGCAATATACATGGCTATCAAATTTCAGAAATGAAGATACGACTGTTCTCAATTTTGGGAAAATTATTTTTTTTTTTTAAAAGAAAAAGAAGGGATTGCTAATATTTTCGTTTGTTAAAAAGACTCAGTAACTTTTATTAGCTCGTGCTAAAATATAAACTCAGGACCTCATATCTGATGTCTTATAAATTAGCCACTAGACCATTCCGTCAATAAATATCGTCTATTAGATTTTAAAAACAGTAGATATACTTATATTATATTATTGTAGCGAATTTTAAGGAAATACACGTAATAAGTAATGAAACAAATCACAATTATAATACATTTATTTCAGAATAGACCCAGTAACCCTGGACACGTTACAGAGGAAAAATTTGACAGAAAGTATTGCTCTTATTAACCACACCTCACACCCACATGTGATGCCAAACGGTATGCACCCAATAATATAATAATCAACCTATACAGGTGACTAAAATTGAAGTGTCTGTTTGTAATGTCGAAATAAATATTTATTACTAAAGGCATATGAAATTATATACGTTACTTTTCTGTCTGTCTATCTGTTTTTTCCGGCTAATCTCCGAAACAGCTGGACTAACTTTGAGTGTACATTCACTAGTGGATAGTTGATGTTATAAGGAGTAACTTAGGCTACTTTTATTTAAAAAAAGAATTAGGGTTCCGCTCAAAAAAATTAAAACGTAGCTAGGGACGAACCCGAGCGAAGCGAGGGTAAATTGCTAGTATTAAATATTATGCAAACGTTTTTTTGAAATCTTTGCCATCAAAAGTATTTATAAACTAAACAGAAATTTAATAATTTCTAAACTAACTAAATTATTACCATACCTATACTATTTATGGAACCTTTAACTTGTACACAATCACACGAGTAAACATTACTCGTGTGATTGTGTTTTATGATAAAGAAAATTACACATAAAAAGGAGCGAGCTTTTCCATATTAAGCTCATAAACTTATTTGCTCGGTACTAGAACCCAAGCAACCGTTAACGGCTTAATTTTAGATTTAAACTGGTGATTTTCATTAGAAGGTTAGGTGAGAAGAATATAAGCTCTTTATCTTGGGAAGTACAATGGCTGCCGGTAGATAGAGGAAAATAAAAAAAACCATTTAGCTAATTTTAACGACATTTGCTAATTTTGACGGATTAGGTCGAAAATCATATTACCTGAGGTTTTCGCTTAATAGGCAAAAGAATTCGTTTTTTTTTAATTTGGCCACAAGATAGAGTACTCGAAAATGAGTAGTTAGCATATTTTATAATAACGGTTAGGATAGAATAGGTAGACTGTATATTATTCATATATACATAGGTATGATGAGTTGTTGATTGTGTTATAAGTTATGACGTGTTTTCACGTGGGAATGAGATAGTCTCCCGTGATAAAAAAAATCTAGCTTATGTGACTCTCCAGCCCTTTAAATATCTCCACAAAAAATTACCCCAATATGTCACTCTGTTTCGACGTGAAAGAAGGACAAACCAACACACTTTCACATTTATAATATTAAGTATTGATTTCTTATGTCTCTCAAATTATAATTATGATTTATTCGTACTTCAGGTGACGTCTATAACGTCGGTATGTCTTTATTGTCGGGGCGGTTGCGACATGTGGTAGTGAAGTTTCCTTTTACCGAAAAGGGTAAGAATATATTATATAAAAAAAAACAGTCTTTATTAAACAACACAATGGTAACAAATACACACAGCCCTAACTCCTGAACTAGAAAACTGTGTTTCAGGAGCTAGTACCTTCCCATATCAGGCGTACATATTCATTGCATGAAATTACGTTATAATAAGGTAAGTTAATGTAAACAAAAAAGGAAAAAAGAAAAAAAAATATTAAAAATTAAATAAATTACTTCTAACTTACAAGACACAGAGAGAAAAAAAAAGTGTGTATATGAGTGTGTGTGTGTGCGTGTGTGTGTGTGCGTGTGTGTGTGTGTGTGTGTGTGTGTGTGTGTGTGTGTGCGTTTGTGTGAGTGGGTTTGGTTGTATGCTTGTGTGTGTTATGTTACTATTACAATTTGTATATATTAGCATTTATTTTATTTATTCATTTTTTTTTATACTAGCACAATGTTTTCAGTTTGTTCATACGTTAGTTTAATTAGCCATTCTTTTAAAATTTCTTTTATTCTATAGTTGCTTAGATTATAAGTGCTATGTTTCAATTTTATATCTATCCAATTGCATTTACGAACTGTAGAGACAGAGATTATCAATCGGATAGTTGCTACAATTTTCATAAGCAATCTTCAGTCGTATTAAATACTATTAAGAAATAGTAGAGAAATAATGGAGTAGTTTAAAATATGTATGTGGTACTTAGATAGGTACTTATAATATGTATAAACATATATTGACTCAAATATTTTTATATCAACAACACAAACAATAAATTGAGAAAATAACTTTGATCTTGTAATATAATTTTTATCGGTTGTTTTATTTTTTACTTATAAATCCATACATATAATAAAATTGTAACTAAGCCGAATCTGTATATTAATTTTTTTTTGGAAACCTCATTGAAATAAGTATTATTATCTCGATATAGAGGCTATATCTATAGTTTTTAGAATTTTTGTCTGTCTGTCTGACTGTTACCGCATTACAGAAAAACCACTGGAGGGATTTTGACGAAATTTGGTATGGTGATAGCTGGTTATCCGAGTCAACATATAGGATACTTTTTACCGCGTGAAAATATCTCATTTCTGAGAAAAAATACAAAAACTGCAATGTAAGAGTATACTATGTAAAACCTAAAAATGTGGTTTTTGGTCATCTGAACGCGGGCGGAGCCGCGGGCAATGCTAGTTATAAATAATAAGAATATTAATTACAGGAGATATGTTTGAAAACGCTCAAATAGTTGGTTCTATGAACCCTCGTTGGGCGATGCACCCGGCGTACATGCACACATTTGGTAATCATTACATTTATTAATAAATATTATTTTATTTTTTATTCCTTTCTCTCTTCAGGCACAAATATGCCATTGTGACTTGATTTTTACATTAATATCCTTGTTGATTTAACTTAATTATGTCTATGCTTCATAATAATAAAATAATTAATATATAAATAATAAAAAATTAAATCAATATTCTTCAAATAAAGGAAAAAAATAAAATATTTTTACGTGTATGTATAAAATAATAATAAATATTTATTGGAACATTGGAAAGTTACATTATAAAATGTACGATAAAGGCTACATTAGTTGAAAACTGTCTCGTTGCCTACGAATAAATAATTTTAGCTTTTAATTGTAGCCAATAACGCCCATTTCCAAGATTTTTTTGTATTAATTTAATACTAGTTCCAATTTCCTATATAAATGTAGTAGTAACATAGAAATACTTGGACATAGTTGCTTTAAAACATTGATATCTAAATATATGCTAATTTTGTATAGTTAGTTTTCCGTGCTTTAGCAAAAACGTTCTTAAATAAACAATTAAATGTTTATTTAAGAATGTTTTTGTTCATTTACCAGCCAAGACGATACTTAAAAATAAAAAAAATATTTAAATGGATATTATATTTTTAGGAATTACAGAAAATTATTTCGTAATAATAGAACAACCACTGTCAGTGTCTGTATGCAGAGTGGTGCGCAATCAGTTGGCAAACCAACCCATGGTCTCAAGCCTGCAGTGGTATCCGGAATATGAGGTAAGAGTGCCTTATTAGCCTATATAAAAAAACCAAAAATCAAAATATACTATATTTTGCTGAGAAGCGCCGTCGAGAAACTCAGCAGGTGCTCTTTTTTAAATATAATATTAATTTGCAATATAATTGTTTTTATTCTATTTGAACATTAACTAATAGTAATCCCACATATTTACACTACACGTTTACTTTATAAGTCAGCTTTGAATTATTAGTTAGTGGGTTTGAATCCCAGACCTATCAAACAATTCTTATATATAGATTTTTTTTACTGGTAGTCTACTAGTCATTCAGGTTATCTAGGGATCAAAGAATTTAATTAGTATTCCTATTAATAAATCGATAGAAAAAAATAATGAAATTTTAGTAATAAAATAATGCAATTAGAAACTACGTCTAGATAATAATTAAGTCAACGTAAAGTAAACACATGAAAAGTTTTGGAAAGTTTCGAATACTTTACAGAAATCATGGTTTCTCACATGACGTCGGGAAAACATACGAAAAGCAAATACAACTACTAACAAATCCACGAAAGAATCTAAAAAGATAGTTTTATTTAAACTTCTGAAATATTTTTTTGTTTCAGACACACATAGTACTCATTAGTCGGCAGACCGGTGACGAAGTAGTGAGGTATAGAACAGAAGCTATATTTTTTCTACACATTATCAACTGTTTTGAGAAGGACAATAAATTAATTGTTGATTTGTGTGCCTACAAGGACGCTAAAGTTCTAGATGCTATGTACGTGCACGCCATTGAAGTAAGTGTATAAAAATAATAACAAGCTTTCTTATTTATGTATATTGGTACCTATATACTAGCACGATCCGCGGCTTCGCCCGCGTAAAGGATCACCCGCCGGGCTAATCTAAAGATTGCCTAAAAATTTCATCAAAATCACTCCAGCTGTTTTAGAGTTCATTGGGAACATAAATACACACAATAACTTTTATTTTATTTAATCAACCACAATTTAAATGTACTTATTGCACGGAAAATTGAGTCTTTCATGAAAATTTGGCGACACATTGATTGCAGCGTCACCTACCGGGTCCGTTTACAAATTCAAATCTTGCAGGGGCCCACTCAAACATACACAAAAAATATCATCAAAATTATCCCTGCCGTTTAGTAGAAGATCAGTGACGTGCCGACAGCAGCAGCAGCGAGACCTACCAGTCCATTGTGTTTTCAAACCATCCAGAAACCCATTAAAATATACACACATAATTTTTCGTGACTCACATACGTTCAAAAGCATTATATATATGTATTAAGATACTAATAATAATTTGAATTGAAATAATTTTTAAGTTGAATGTGTTTTGGTTTATTTTTAAGTGATAACTTTTGACTTTCATATTAGTGTTCAAATCAAAGTAGTTTATAAGACGATTAAAGATACAAAGGGCTTAATTTGTAAATACCAACACTCAGTCTAAAGAATAATATAGGCAGAGTATAATAGAAGTAAACATGAAGCCAAAAAATAATGTTTTAAAATAATATATAAAGTTTAAAACTAGTATACAAATGACGATTTGTATAGTGAGTGATAAGTAAATAAATGTTAGTAAAAAATAGCTAATTTTATTATGATGAAGAAAAAAATTAAATAAGCTAATTATAGAGAACTAACATCGAACAAAAAGTTTCTAGATACACAATCCCATGCAAAAGTTTCCTTAAAACTGTCACAAATTGTGTTCAGGTAATTATTCTAGTTGAAATAAATATACAACAATGTAAATTGAACCTTAAGTGCAATGCTTAATATTGTTTTTACAAAAAAAGCACGCTCAAATGTGCAAATGAGCGCTCATTCGGTGAGGAAATTTTTTGTCGCTGATTGTGTATCTAGTACTTTTTTGATTTATGGGAACTAATACGTAAAAATTTCAAAAGAATATAGTATAATTTTTATTATTCATATTTTATACCCGAAAATTGTATATTAATTTAACTAATACATGTATCAGATGTCCTTATCCTTTAAAGAAAGTAAACGTAACAATAAAGGTTAAAGAAAGGGAACGACCGTATGGCAAAATCGAGAATAGTACCATAAACAGCAAATTACGCTACTGCCTACTATTTTTGACTTTGAAATTTTTTTAAAGTGGACTTCGTTTATATAATTCTTTGGTCTAAGTACCAATATTAATAATATTAAAATAACCATAAAATGAATGTCCGAAAATTACAGAGTATGCAAAGTAATGCTGACTACGCCGAATGGTTTCGGAGCCGGCCTAAGAGGCTGGAAGTGAGCTTAGACGCCCCTCACTTAACGAAGATCGAGCCGAGGCTGTTAGCGGATTTAGGCTGTGAAACTCCAAGAATACACTACGATCAATATAATGGTATCATATTTTAAATTTTAATTTTAATCGTTTGCTAAATAATTTATTTTAAGATATTATTTTTATCTGTCTATTTAATTCTATCCACATCATCATCCGGCTCGGCCACGGCGGCCAATCTCAGTGAGACTATCCAGATGTGCAGGAGATATTATAGTGCACAAGTGTACGCGTAGAAATAAGTGCACACTCTATTCTTTTTACTCTCAAAATCCGATGGGATAATACTTCGACACGACCGGTGAGAGTTAAGGCGCAGGACCGACGGCTTTACGTACTCTCCGAGGCACGGGGGTGAAACACCGTCAACTTCTCAACTCCGAGCTATATTAACTGAGACTATCTTAACAGAAAAACTCAGTAATTAAACTTGTCTGGACCCGGGACTCGAACCCAGGACCTCCGGATCTCTAGCCGTACATACTAGCCGTACGTGTAAGGTATAATTAGGATATAATATATTTTTCATGTAGATCAAAAGATATATAAGTTTTTCTTTGTAGCGCTTTAATAAAAAAAACGGCCGTATTTTGTAGTGTTAATTCGATTACAAACGCGAACTGCCTTTGGAAACTAATTTTTATTTTATTAGGTACTAAGTACTAACTAACTAGAATATTTTATAGTATGTGACCGGACTGACCTTGCCCATCAAGATTTCTGATGGTCTGGAAGAAAAACAAATTCTTTTACCGATGAAATTTTAGTACAACAGATTTTTTCTTACTATTTTAGTGTGATTGAGTTTTTTTAGCCGACTTCCAAAAAAGTCTTCGAAGTACGAAGTTCTCAATTCGTCGGAATCTTTTTTGTATGTATGTTTACTGATTACTCGAAGACACCTGAACCGAACCGACTTCGAAAATATCTGATGAGGTATCTATTCTAAATGAAAACCTCCGTTTAATTATTTTTTACATTTTAGTACCTGGAAGTTTTTTTAAGTTTTTATTAAATGTAACATACTCGCATGTTCACTGTCTATTACTGCACTTAAGATTGATTATTCTTAATAATTCTTCCACATATTTATTGTTGTAATTGATGTTGTGTTAAAACAAATATGTTGCCTTACAATATAGTGTAGATACGATTTATCGAAATTATAGGTGAAATAATTGTATGTTAAATAAAACAGTTAAGATATTTTCCAGGTCGGCCATACAGATATTTTTACGCCATCAGTTCCGATGTGGACGCAGAAAATCCTGGAACGGTAAGAGTATATGTAATATTTCTTTTTATATTAACGCATTTTAATTTGTAGTGATCCTACTTGCTGTGCCAGCGGTCGCGGGTTCGAGTCCCGCTGGGGGCATTCATTTGTGTGATAAGCACGAATGTTTGTACTCCAGTCATGGGTGTTTATATATTTATAATATGTATGTATTTAAAGTTATATATGTGTAGTGTTTCAACTATCTGGTATCCATAGCACAACTCGTAGCTTACCATGGAATTAGATGGCGCTGTATGTTAATGTCCCAACATATTTATATTTATTTATTTTGGAGTTGTAAGTAAAATATGAGGTGTGTATAAACTTACATTTTCTTGTGAATTATTTAAATAATTACATACGTTGATTGGGTCTTATTCTGCCTGTAAGCTTAACGATTGCTTAACACAAGAACTAAATCCACTCACAAACCGTTTCACAATGCTCTGACAACACATATAACATTTATTGAGGTATATAACACAAACTGTAACGGTAGTATTAAAAAATCTGAATCGTATATAAATAGGTAACTTCTTATTATTATTTTTTTATATTTGAGTGGTTTTTAATCTGTATCAATCATTTTCATAGCCCTGATGTAATTATATATAATATTAGATTATTCTTCCAGATTATTAAGGTGGACACAGTATCAGGCGAAACTAAGACCTGGTGCGATGAAGACTGCTATCCCAGTGAACCAGTTTTTATACCTCATCCTCAAGCTAAGGTAATATAAACAGATAACAAATGCATATAAAATATATGTATGTTTGGGTTACTAAAGGCATATAATAATTCATAAAATAATTGCCTGTCCGTCTGTGTGTGCGGCTAGCATATTTTAATATTTTTTACAGTGAGTTGAAGTATAAAAGGCGAGTAGGTACGTTATTGAGCGTAGCTATTAAGGCAGAAGTTTGTAGATAGATAATTTTACTTCTTCTTTTAAATTTTATGACGATGTTTATCGAATATATCGATATTTTACTTAGTCAAATCATTGAAACTGATTCATATAATTCTAGCAGACTCCGCCACACGTTGCTGTAGCACACTTATAATTCGTTCAAGTAGCCGTAGGGTAGTCCTTTCTCAGGTTCTACCTTCGGAATCCCTCTCCGGATATGAAAATTGTTAATATTGCAATAAAAAAAGGAAATAATCGGGATAAAACTATCCTATCTTTTAAGTTGGAACAAATTACACAATTTGAAAAAAAAATACGTTAAGATCGGATAAGTTGTTCGGAGTTCATTGGGGACCATCGTGAAACGGGAATTTTATAAACATATTAAGATTGTCAATGGTATACCTTCTATTAGTGTAAAATATATTTATACTAATATTATAAAGAGGTAAAGTTTGTGAGATTGTGAGTTTGTGACGTTGTAGGGGGTAATCTCTGGATCTACTGAACCGATTTAGATGAAATTTAGTGAAAATATAGTTTGAGATCCTGGAAAGGACAAAGGATACTTTTTATCCCGAAAATCAACCATTAACGGTGTGAAAATGGGGATGAACGTTTGTATGGGGAATCAACGTAGTGACGAGCCCGAGCCATGCGAGGGTGAGTCGCTAGTCTGATATAACTTCCAATTAGTATGAAATACGCGCAGTACTTTCTGTGAGACTGGTCCGAATAAAACACAAATTTAGTAGGGCGGGGAACACTAATTTATTATATAGTTATATCAATAACTTTTCAGGAGGAAGACGATGGTGTCATCGTAAGTGCTATGGTGTTTGGTAAAAAAGAATGCGCGGTGGCCTTAGTAGTGCTGGATGCTGCGTCTCTACAAGAGCTGGCTCGAGCTTACTTTGATACTCCTTCACCAGCCCCTAAATGTTTACATGGCTGGTTTCTACCGAATACCCCTTGAAAATTATATTAAAGAATCAAATTATATGGAACTTTTTAGTGAACATTTTTGTTTCGCTTATTTCTATTTGTTGTTTTTGCTTATGTACTTAACATATGGGATCAAATTGGCTTTTGTTCAGAAAATAATGTACCTAAAAATATTTTTCAAAATTAATCTTATAAGTGGACAGTTTTCCATGTTAAAAAAAAGTATTAAAAAAACTGGACAGTTTTAAGTTTGTTAGAAGTATATAATAAGATACGTGTAGCGTATTATAAAGTATTGTATGCACATCTTAGGAAATAATAAGTTACTCTTTATGTAACAATTTCTCATATTGTCATTTTATTTAATATAATTAATGTGTTAAGATTAATTTCATGTACAAACTTTATGAAATATTTTATTTTCACTATGCAGTATGGCGTATGGTCATCCATACATATAATAAAATTGTAACTTTTTGTATATATGTTTCAACTAGAATAATTACCTAAACACAATTGATGACAGTATAACTTTTGCATGGGATTGTGAATCTAGCTAGTACTTCTTTGATCGATGAATGAATTGACCTTATTCATAAAAAAATGGTATCATTAAAAACCATTTCTTAATAATTGCAAGTCATCGCATTATTCACGCAAAAAAAAACATACATACTAATTAACAACCACATCCATTTTTCTTTATTTGGATAAAAACACACACAGACATGTTTTAAATACTAAATAAAATAATTTCTTTCTTTCACTTTTTTATTTATATTCGGTCAGGGAGGTACCATCCATGGAAGCAACGAGCTGCCTGCGAAGGAGTCACGAATTGAACACGTCCAATCTCATTAAGATCTCGGGCATTTAACACCAGCAATGTGACTGCGTGATCGTCTTTGCTCCATAGTACCGAGCTCAATATAACACCGTCATCTTCGTCCTGGAAATGCAATAAAAATAATATAAAAAATAATGAATAAATTATCATCACAGTCTACTAATCATTCAGTCGTCTAACAAAGGTTTTTAGACTGGGTTAACGTGCGGGACGTGTAGTACTTACTTTTATATAACACTAGCGACTAATCATCGCTCTGGTTCGTCCCTAGGTAGGTTATATATATATATATATATATATATATATATATATATATATATATATAGCCTGGCTACGTCTTTTGGTGTCTAACAGTCTATGTGTCACTCCACGTCATAATCTATTCGTATACTAAATTCCATCCTTATCCATTCAGCCGTTTGCGTGATGGTGTAACAAACATACACACTACATACAAAATAAATAAATAAAAACATTTTAAAAAACAAGCCTTTATAAATCATATAAATTGTGTAATAAATGGAGTTTGATTTAATTAAAAGTTTATTTTTGAGATATTTATTCGTATTCTTCCCAGTAAACCCTTACATGTCATGGGGTGCATAAAAAACATAATCCGCCATGTTGGATTTACAATGACGTCACTTATCGAACCATGCATTGTCATCTAACCTAAAAGTGTGTACAAAATTTCAGCTCAATCGGTTGAGAATAACTGCTTTAAATTTAAATTGCGAGATTTGACTCGAACAAACATACATACAAACATTGCAAGTTAAATAAAGGCTTGTAAAAACGTTTATAATTATAATATTAGCATGGTCATTGTACAATACTGTTATGTAAATATTATTTACTTTGTATAATTTTTAATTGTTTTTATATAATATTATGTAATTTACCTTTGCATCAGGACAGGCTACAAACACAGGCTCGCTGGGGTGCGCGTCGAATTCTCTCCACATTTTTATTTCCCCTGTTTTGTTATCTATTTTAATAATCTAAAAAAAAATTATTCATTTAAAATAATTCTCTTTACCTATTTGTTATGTAATTATAATAATTTACTGCGCCATAGATCGCAGGTTCAGTCTCTAGAGAGGGTAAATTCAGAGTATTGCCTCATCTTCTTTACATGTTATAGCTAAATATGATTTTAAAAGCATTGTTTCTATTCCAAACATTTTCGTACCACAAAGAGTTGTTTTTGTATGTTTGTCGATTGAATTGCCTTAAAAGAGTTTATAGTTTATGTGACAGGGGTAAAATACTTCTATATTAAAATAGGATAATCGGCGAGGTAAATACATAGTTTATAACTTTCCTCAATTAATGAGCTATAATATAGAATAGTATTTCCAGAGATAAGTGCGTTCAAACAATCAAACACTTTTACGTTATATATAAGTATAGATTACGTTATAAATAAATACATATGTTGTGACATTAACACACATCACTATCTAGTTCCATGGTATGCTACGAGGCTTGTGTTATGGATACTAGATAGTTGATACACTACACATATATAACTTTAAATACATACATATTATAAATACAAACACTCATGACAGGATTACAAACATTCATGATCATTACACAAATGAGTGTCCCCAGAGGGACTCGAACCTGCGATCACTGACACAGGAAGTAGGGTCACTACAAACTAAGACAAACTTGTCGTCTAAATTTGTTATGTACTAGACGACTCACCCTCGCTTAGCTCGTGTTCGTCCCTACTTACGTTTTAACGTTTAGTATAGATTTCTCAAATATGGAATATTTTCCTGCAGTAAAAAGTATCCTACACGTTGACCCGGGTAACCAGCTATCGCCATACCAAATATCATCAAAATCTGTCCAGTAGTATTCTCATGATGCGGTAACAGACAGACAGACAAACAAAAATTCTAAAAACTATAGATTGGGTCTCTGTATCGATAATAACGTGTATTTCAGTAAGATTTTAAAAAAAATATACAGATGACAGATTCGGCTTAGTTAGAATTTTATTATATGTATAGATATAGTCTAACGATACAATAAATTAAAATTTAACTTACTGAACCAGCGTGTTCTGAACCTACTTCCAGTGATATCCCATAGAAATATCTATAAGGCCGGCCTGGAAACATTACGTTGGTTTATTAAAGTTAAAGAATCTATTTTTGTCATAATAAAAACTTAAAATAAAAACCAACTTCCAGGCACTAAAATGTAAAAAAGAACTAAACAAGGGTTTTCATTTAGAATAGATACCTAATGAGATATTTTCGAAGTCGGTGCCAGCCGATGTAAAGCAAATCTAATGTATTTCGATACTTAAGATATATTAGATATTCAAATCTTAAAATATTGTAGGCTGGCACCGACTTCAAAAATATCTGATTGGGTACCTATTCTAAAATCTATTAGTGTAGATGTAATAAGCAGGTAATTTGTAAGAAGAAAGTTTTTTAGTAACATATTCGATTAAACAATATATATATTTAAAAAAATAATTGTTGATTTTTTTATAGTGTCATAATATTTTTATCCCATATCCCACATCAATACTGAAAGCCCCATTAAAATCATGTCAGTCGTCTCGGCGATTAGCCGATATAATCAGACAGACCAACAGACAGACAAAGATAACGAAAAATATTACATACCTTCTGTTTGGGTTTTAAATTTTAATATACCTATACCTATATCGTAGTACAAAGTTAAAGATGTTTTTTTCAAAAATGTATATGTACCATTATAAACCTGATAATTTATCCTAGGAACTTCAACACAAACATCGGCAAGTAGTTTAGTTTCCACCTTGGAGTCAGGCGCTGCGTTGAGAGGAATCTCAATGCGCTTGGGGCGACTATGGCACCATTGACCGAAGTTTAAATTGCTCTCAATATTCTATACAAAATATAAATTTTCATATTAAAGTATGTATATGAATTTTAAAATATCATAAAAATAAAAACATGATTAATTGTGAATAAGAACTGAGAAATACATTTTAAATATTGTTTTAATCGACTTTTGGAAATGGTGGTTCATAATTCAGATTAGCCTCTATATATTATTATTCTAATTTAAACCGACGACCCACAGGACGATCAATTCATAGTACTAAACAATAAATAAGTTTTAAAATGGTCATAATTATTGTGGTGAAATGAAAATATACGTATTTATAGGTTATTTGCTATATTTTTTGAAGTTATACTTCTTTTGGCACGTTTGAAAAATATTGCGAGAGTAATACTTTTACGACCGACAACCAAAAAGCGACATGATAAAGTTAGCTGAAAGCGACATGATGGAGTTAGCTGCATTCCTTTTACAAGCAGAGAGTTGTGACATACGGGATGAAATCTTTAGCTACTTTTGTTCTGTTACGCCAAAGAAGTATAATTTCTTACGTGTGTACATAAGTAGACACATCTTTTATTATTTATTTATATACTACTAGCAGAACCCACGGCTTCGCTCGCGCTAAAATTACAAAAAAATCTCTAAAAGGGTAGTTTCATACAAACTTTCATTCCCTGTTTTACCCCTTTATAGGATGAATTTCGAAAAATGCTAAAACACGTATTTATTTAATTTTATTGAAAAGCATTAATACCAAGTTTCAAGTGATTCTGGTCATAAATATTGTATTGGATTGTATTATAAAGTGTTTTCCCATGGGAATTAGATAATCTCCCGCGGTAAAAAGTAGCCTAAGTTACTCTCCAGCCCTCCAACTATCTTTACACAAAAAATCACGCCAATACGCCAAGCCGTTTTGACGTGAAAAAAAGACAAACGCAAACAGACAAGCAAATAAACACACTTTCACATTTATAATATTAGTATGGATTGTACTTCGGAACTTGCTTATCATAGTGTAACATAAAATAAACATTAAAATATCAAAGTAAATATGTCATTCTACATCTACGAATAAATAATTAATTATTCGTAGTTCTACATCACATAAAGCCTACCTTGATAGCTTCGACGTACATAGCGTCAATTAGCTTCGCGTCCTTGTACGTAGATACATCAATGAATAATTTGCCATTTTCTTCAAAACAATTGATTATATGCATGAAGAAGAATGTATCTGCACGATAACGAATTTGTTCACCAGTTTCGCGGTGTATCAATATAAATTGAGTCTGAAAATATTAAAAAAATTTTGTTAATATTTAAATTACAAAACGTGTCAATGAAAAAAATCTACTTCTTGTAAAAAAATTGCCGCTGTTACGAATTATTATAGGTTTTTGATCGAATATTTTACTTATATTTTCATACTAGCGAATCACTCTCGATTCGCTTCGTCCCGAGACAAAAACAAATCTATCCCACGGGAACCGTACATTTTTACGCGATGATAGATAACCTAATTATAGCCTTCCTCAATAAACGGGCTATCTTAATGTAAAAAATATTTTTCAAATCGGATTAGTATTTTCTGTGATTAGCGCGTTAAAATAAACAAACAAACAAACTCTGCCTCTTTATAATATTATAATATAGATTAATATAATATATGTAAAAATAACTTTATCTGTCTGTTATATTTTACGTTTAAAAAACTAAGCACATATCGATAAAGGTGAGGGCATAGATAGCGTCATATGGACGAATGTAAATAACTTTTTATCTATATGCGAGATTATGCAATAACAATATAAGAAAAAAAATATATATGCGAAATTATATAATGCAAAATAAATATATTATATAAATTATCTTATGGTAAATGAGCATACCTCATATTCCGAATACCACTCTAGCATCGTTGAGAAGGGTTCATTGAATGCTATTTTCTTCATTGTATTTAAGATAGATATACAAAGAGGTTGTTCTATTATAATAAAATACTTTTTTGTTATACCTGAAAACAAAAAATTACGTACAACATTTATTGGTTAGACCTACTCCTCATACGTTTAACTAGCTTACTGCCTATAGCTCTGCCCAGTTATCTATTTTACTGAGGATTGCCATCATAATTTCCTCCGTTTTGTATAAAAGCGTGCATAAAAAGAACCTACTCTATCAATTTAGCTATATTTAGAGTATATACTCATATACTCATAGCTACAGTTTAAAAGAGTCTATCTACATCTATACTAATATGTTAAGCTCAAGAGATTGTTTCTTTTCTTTGTTTGAAAGCTCTTAGCCCTAGAACTTCTAGTTTGATTAAAATTAAAAAAAAAAGTTTGAGGTCATGCCGCCAGAAATGGAAACTTAACACTATAAACAAACTGTTTGTGTTTAAAATTGTGCCGTTCCTAAGAATAATGACGTAATGTATAATAAATAAATTTATATAAGCGAAGAAATACAAAATCCAAAAATTCCGTCTCGCCAGTAAAACAATGATACCAATGAACCAATTATAGAACATATTTAGGTGAGTGACCATTTAGTGGCATAACAACTGCACGTTTCTGATAGCACGTTAAACCGTGGTTTTAGGTGTTATCGGTATTAGTCACTAAGCCATGTCCAAGACCTTGTTGATAATACTCGTATGACATTAATGTGAAAGTGGGAAAGATAAGTACACAGCACCTGCTAAAACCGTTTCTGGTTTACAATGACTAATTTTAAAATTATAGAAATACGTAGAGTAAGATTCTATATTTAGTAGTTATCCATAGTTTTCGAATGGTTTGAATTTTACTTATTTTAAAAATTAAACTATATATTATCATCATTTCTTTTAAAAAAAAGAAATTCCAATTTATTCTGACAGACTGTCAAAAATTTTTAAAGTCGTGGTAGCCTAATATTTACTTAAATACAGGTGTCAAAAAATACGATAAATAATTAAAAAAAAAATTAAGTGAATAGCTTTCACTCTGTAATTTCATTATAGTTTATGATAAGGCAGTCGTAGCCCAGTGGTAACGCGCTCGCTTGGGAAACCGAGTGAAGCGGGTTCATATCCCGGGTCTCGGACCTCTGAAATTTTCATGTGCGAATCATTTCCAACATCGTGAGGAAACCTACGTGTCTGAGAGAACCTAGCAAGTTTTCAAAAGACATGTGAAGTCCGCCAACCCGCACTTGGCCAGCGTGGTGGACTATGGCCTGATACCCCTCGTATCGAAGGCCCGTGCCTAGCAGTGGGACGTTAAAAAGGGCAGAAAACATATGATACGCGTATATTTACCAAAGGAGTGCATATAAGAGGGATTAAATCGCCACTTTGGATCAACAACGCCCACAATTTCAGCAGATTCAAACATATTTTCTGAAAACAATAAAACTAAAATGAAGCTAAACATGTATATGCTAAGAGTTGTTTCTGAAAAATTTTGCATGGCGGTACCTTATATCCCCGGTCAATATTAGATACTTTTTATCCCGGAAAATTAAAGAGTTCCCGTGGGATAGTTAAAAAACTACAATAACTTATACAGCTTAGTACACAACAACTTATGCACTTAATTCAGTAAAATTTGGCACGATGATACCTTATATTGCCAGTCAAACAATAGGTTACTTTTTATCCCGGAAAAATGAAAGGTTCTCGTGGGATAAATCTGTTTGTGTTTTTCTAGAGGCAAACCCGAGCGAAGCGAGGGTGAGCCGCTAGTCTTTAATACAATTATATATAACTTTATTGAAAACTAGTGACTCACCCTCGCTTGCTCCGGTTCATTCCTAGATATGTTTTAACGGTTAGTATAGATTTCTCAAAAATGAGTAATTTTTCCTGCAGTAAAAAGTATTCTATATGTTGACCATGATAGCCAGCTATAATCATACTAAATGTCATCAAAATCTGTCCAGTAGTTTTCTCGTGATGCGTTCCCAGACAAACATACAGATAGCCAAAAATTAAAAAAAACTATAGAGTCGGCCTGTGTATCTATAATAATGACTATTTCAATAAGATTTCCCAAAAAAATATTTAATGTACAGATTTGACTCGGTTAGAATTTTATTTTAGGTGTATAAATATAATATGAAAATTTATTATTATACTGAATTATTAAGGTCAAATGCTAATTTTAACAAATAAAAATATATTGTTAAGTTATGAAAAAAAATACCTTTTCCGGTGTGAGAAAACTTCAGAATAACATGTTTTGGTAATCCTTTAATAAATTGCAACCCAATATTGTATACATCTCCTGTAAAAAACAACAGTCAACATAATTTCCTATATTTAACCTTTCTGTTAGTATTATTATGATATTATTAGTCACTTGTAGTAGCCCATTGGTAATTGGCTCGCTTGGGAAACCGAGTGACAAGGATTCAAATCTCGAAATCTTACCGCCTCTGATATTTTCATAAATGATTTCCAACATTATTGCCACTTATCCTATGGTAAAGGAAAACATCGTTAAGAAACCTGCATGTCTAGATAGCCTAGGGAGTGTTCCAGAAACAGGTGAAATCTGCCGACCCGCATTTGGCCAGTGTGGTGGACGGACAATGGCCTGATCTAGTGATATCGTATTGAATGGAAGGCCGTGCCCGCCACTGGGACGTTAAAAAAGTTTTTATTTGTCCCTTTTTAGTATAGACATAGTAGTAGCAAAGTAAGAAGAAAGTATTTGCTTAAGCCGTTTAAGTTAGTTTGATGACAATTTTTGTATGAAGACTGACAAATTAAAATTCGCTTTTATTAGTAACACTAAAAATTCTGGCTCTAAAATCCGATTCTAACATATTGGGATTGTCAAATCAAACAAAATAAGCCCAAACTCAAAGTAACTACTATTAGCCGTTGAAGAGTTCCACCTATCCACCTTCTGGGCTTACCATCAGATCAGGTCAACGATACCGAAACACTGCACTATCAACGGAAATAGACACACTTGCAAAGTTTCAAGTCAATATGACAAGTAGAAGTAGGTTAAATTCATCATTAGCTATTTTTCCACCCTTACGGGTGGGTTTTTTTTTTTTGAATTTAAATGGGATCAATCTGGAAGTATACACTTTTAAACAAAATAAAATTGTCTAAATCGGTTTATAAATGACGGAGTTCTGAGGTAACAAACATACAAAAAGAACATACAGCCGAATTGAAAACCTCCTCCTTTTTGAAGAAGTCGGTTGAAAATGATTCAATATATGTTTCATTTGTGTTAAGCAGATGTCAGATAAGTGCAAGATAAAAGAGTATTTTTTTAAGTACATTAATATAATAAGCATCCTTACCATTTGGCATAACGTGAGGGTGCGCAGTATGACAAACTATTAACGAATTGATAAGGGTCTTCCTATCCAATGTTTCTAGAGAGTCGGGGTCGATTCTGTAAACAATAAAGCAATTAATTTAATCCAAAGTAAGGTCATTTAGTCATCTGCTTACGAAATAAAACATATTTTGTATTAACATAATATAACGAATAAACAAATATAAAGTTAGCGCATCGTAAGACGCAAGGGATGAGTGAATCACGTACCTTTTAGTTTTTAGTATATGAGTATTAAATCAACCAAATCCAATAATTATAGCTGGGTGTCCAGATATAAACCTAATTGCACTCGACTATTTGCACTATTTAAATTCTTTCCGTCCGTAAAAAGGACACTAATTACTACCCCACTAATCAGACGAATCTCAAGATACAGTTATGCCGAACTCGCTTGTTTACGTACTGTTCTATAAAACGAGATTAATGCTTATTGGTAAATAGTGCTTTTTTCACAGCTTCGATTTTACAAAAAAAGGCAGGGATAATAGGTAGCGTCATAGGGTAGGGTATATCTCTTACCCTATGACGCAATCCATTTCCTTGGTAGTCATAGAAATCTATTCAAGCAAACATCTATTCACGCTTAAGCGTGAAAAAGTACAACAAACAGACAGAGTTAATTTCATGTTTATAATATTAGTATAACTAGAAGTTAATATGGGGATAGCAATCAGAATCAATTCAAAACATACTTATATACTGTAGCTATTTCTGTCATTGTATATATTTGATCGCCAAATGGCTGAACAGAGATTCCAGCGTTGTCCGTAAAATAATCCTCAAGAGTAAAGGTGGATGCTATCCTGAAATAGAGTACATAGATTTTTAGATGACTTCCTAAAGACCATGTAATAAAGAGTGTAACCTCTAAGGAAGGATATTTCAAATGCAACCCCTAAATAAGTATAGTGGTTTCAAAACTTTATGAATACAAATATAAGCGGTGGCAAAACTTTAGATAAATTCAACACAAAATCGAGAAGCATGTTCAGGGATTCCCCAATAATTGAAACTTAATCCCTCCACGACCACGGACACGCCGGCGTCACAGTTAACAATAGGTTTCGTAGAAATTTAATTAAGTTCTTAGAAATTTACCTGGAGGTGTTAATGTTTACGTAAGTATAGGATGGGGGAGTTAGAGCTTTGTTTACTTTTGCTGACAATGAGGAGGGAGAGGTTAAGGTTGATAATTAATTACTAAAGTTCTGCTTACGTAATACTTGAATGACCTCTATTAACGTTTTTAGCAAAGTATATTATCTAACTCTTATTTACACGTGATTCAAATTTTAATTTTTATGGGACAAATCAAATAATATTTTTCTGAAAGTGTCAAATTAAATAAAGTTACTTGTAAAACCGGAGAACACTGCTAGTATAAATGTAATATTTGAATTATAATAATATCTATTCCAACGTCACTTCACGTATTATAGGTAGGTAATTACTATGCAGTATGCATAAACTATTTAGAAAAAAAAACTCTATACAAGTTTTTCTATTAATTAAAAATGATTTTCCTTTGTATATTTGTACTCTGTTCGTTCCTAAGCTATTCATTCTTATTTACATAATACGTTTAACTTTGATGAATTAATTAATTAATAATTGCTCTATCGCGTAGGTTAGAGGGATGTTTAGAACCTTATCTCGGGGTGCGTGTCGTACAATCGAAAAATAATTTTAGTACACACTTACACACATAGGTAGTGATAGAAATAAAGTAAAAAATAAAATCGTATATGCGACTGAGATAATAAAATCTGAAAGTGGTTAGATTTATATTGCGATCCTAGTCTTAGAGCAAATTATTTTTTATTGAAATACTAGCGGTTCACCCTCGCTTCGCTTGAAAAACAAACCTATCCTTCGAGAACCGTACATATTTCCGGTAAAAAAGTAGCCTATGTGTTATTCCAGACTATAATCTATCTCTATGCCAAATTTCATGCAGATCCGTTCAGCTGATCTGGCGTGACTGAGTAACAAACATTCATCCAAACATCCAATCTTCTAATGTTCCACATTTATACTATTAGTAAGAAAACCCATACAAGTACTTATATAAATTATACTCGTACGTGTATAGTATAATTGAATATTATGGTAACAAAGAAGCGAAATAAAAAGGTATACGATATATTATTTCTTTTGTCATTACAAGTTATCATTTTTACACAAAATAAAGTTAATACAAAAAGTACACAACCTATGACGTATGTAAGTTGGTAGGTACTTTGATCTTAAACAATTTCATACGATCAACAGTTTTTTACGCAGAGCGCAAAATTGTAGATACTTTCTATCCCGAAGTAAATTCTTATTTTATAAGTCTTCTATAAACATAGTTTTATAAGTCAGTAGCATTGCCCGCGGCTCCGCCCGCGTTCAGATGACCAAAAACCAAATTCTTAGATTTTACATATTAGTATACTCTTACATTGCAGTTTTTGTATTTTTTCTCAGAAATGAGAGATTTTCCCGCGGTAAAAAGTATTCTATATGTTGACCTAGATAACCAGCTATCATAATACTAAATTTCATCAAAATCTGTCCAGTGGTTTTCTCGTGATGCGGTAACAGACAGACAGACAGACAAACAAAAATTCTAAAATCTATAGATTCGGCCTCTGTATCGATAATAATGACTATTTCAATTAGATTTTCCAAAACATATTTAATGTACAGATTCGACTGAGTTAGAATTTTATTATATGTATAGATTAACCTTACCTGTCAAAAATACTGTGACAAGGATCTGGCACAGACCTCGTACCAAACTCGGTGACAACTATTCGGTTAGCTTTTCTATTTTTATTAAATGTCTTCGAGTTTAAGTAACGACATTGATAAGTTGCGTTACCGTTTTTTAGATAAAATCTGTACATAATAGAAATCATATTAGGTATTATTACAAACTAGTGACTCACCGTCGCTCCGCTCAGGTTCGTCCCTAGTTACATTTTAATGCTTAGTATAGATTTCTCAGAGATGAGATACATATTTTGCCTCAGTAAAGACTCGGCCTTTGTATCGATAATAATGAATATTTCAATAAGATTTTCCAAAAAATATTTAATGTTTAGATTCAACCTAGTTAAAATTTTATTATTTGTATATATAAACACTCAAAGCCATAAAACCTTAGAAAGTAAATGAAGGTCAGAATCATATCAATGGTTCATATCATCATATCATTATGACTTTTAGGATATAATATCAATCCATAGTCCATACAATATAGTAATATTTCAAATGTAAAAGTGTGTTCTTGCGATTTTGAATAAACTTCTTTTAACAGTGGGAAAATATCTCATTCCCACGGTAAAATATTAAGTATATTATAATTCATATATGGAAGATATCGATTAATACACATAATAAGACATAAGAACCTTTTTTTAAGTCAAATATTTGCGTAAATCTAAGAGAGTTTTTTTAATTATATTCAAAGAAGGAAACCTGTGTAATAATGCTGGCCCGTCAAAAACATGTCCGTATTCAGATTCACCTATTTTGTATGTTCCTGATCCATTTCGCAATAATGTGCCACTTAACCATGTTGGAATTGTTCCTTAAATGCATAAAATAATTAATTAAAAATACACTATAAATAAAACTATCTTTTCGGATTATTTCGCGGATTCATTTTGTTTTTTGGTTCCCGACGTTTTTAATGCTTTACAGCAATCATGGTCACAAATAATCCGACAAGATAGTTTTAGACAAGTTTTTAGACAAGATAGTTAATTTAAGAATGTTTAAAATAAAAAGATTTAAAATGTGAAGAAAAACAAACTTATCTATAAAAAATTAACAGATAAATTTCATGCAGGAGGAATTAATGAACATCAAAAGGCGACTGATTGTGCGATAACTGAAACCTCGTGTTTTGGAGGAATGATTAAATAACTGAAGATTACTCAAAATCCCTTTAGTTCGATTTTTATTATGTTTTTGTAACAATATATTATTGGATTTCTGTAAGATTCATTTAAACCCCAAAATCAATGCCGTTTGCTTAAGCTAAAAAAAACACACATACACATTTATTTTCAAATGGTCATTATTTACAGTAGGATTGTACAAACTGGTAATATCGATTTTATTATTATTTGATCTTTTCAAATTCAAACTATATAACAAATTTTCATATTATTGCACATGTTAAAGTTACACGTTAGTATTTGCTGATACTTCTAAATGTTTGTCTAATTTAAAACATCTAAACAAAGACAATAAAACCCTCACCTGTAAGTTTTCCCTCAATGGGTTTTTTGATCTCTTCTTCGCAACATCGAAGCCAAATGCTCATGTTATAATCTGAGTGCTTTTCTGTTTGTGTCATTTTCGAAAAGTTTAATTTAAAGATTGTTTGTGCAATATATGATTCAGTTTATATATTATATAATTTGTAACCTTGTAAGTAGAAAAATAAACATTTAATTTATATTGTTAAAAAAAGGATAATCAAAATAAATTTTGGAGGAAATTTTATTTAGAATTAACAATGTTAAAAACTTTGCAAATATAATCAAATGTTCCAATAGTTAAATGGGATACAATGTTTTAAAACTTGTTGAAAAACTCTACTGAAAACTAAAATCAACGAACTAGCACTAGTAGATACTTTAAAGAATTAAATGTAAGTACTTACATGTAAATATGTGAAAGATACCCAGATATTTATCGATTCGATATTACATAAATAAAATAATAGGTATTCTTCAATATTTTATATGTATATGTATTGGAATAAATCATAAATCACTTGCACTAATATGACTTCACCTTTTGAGTACCTAAGGAAATGCAGAATAAATGAAATAAATATCTTACTTTCTAACCTAAACTATAAAAAAAAATAGGTCTTTCGTTTTACTGAAAACGACTAAGTAAAGTAAAACGCAGTTGTACTCATAGCTTACTAACCACATAAATTGCTTTAGTGTGAGTTGATGCACCATTCATTTTATACACTCAAAGTAACTAACCTCTTTTATTACTTATAAAAAATATTTTATTATAGAATAAATAGCAATATTTTTTATAAAAATATTATTATAAATAAATTATAAATTTAAATAACAAAATTCACTCCTAACCTAATTGGTGGAGATTGAGCACTAAACTACCTTAATGCTGAGCCTATACAATATAACGATTATCTTGATAATACTGTCAAGATAAATCTACTCGTACTATGTTCGTATCTAATATATATCTATATGAATAAAAATGAATGGCTAAATATAATTGTTTAGCGAATTATATATAACAATATTCGTTGTCTGTTCTGTCTGAGGATGGTTCATAAGAAGAGAAAAATTGGAAAAGTTTCACGGAAAAACGTAAAAATCACACTTTTCTTGTTCCTTACTACTTACTACTTTATAATTAAAACGCTACCTTAAAAAAATAAATTATGTTTAGTAACCCCCGACACAAAAAAATCTAAAAAGAAAAAATAATAATTTTGGGATTGGTTATTTATGTAAATACATATTTGAAATGCTTACCATGCATTCGGTCCCTCACAATAAATTTTCTCTCTTGGTCTTTTAACTTGATTAAAAGTACCTTTTAATGTTTTGATGATGAGCGCCGCCTCGTTGAGGAACCGCTAATACTTTATCATTATCAATCTTCTTTTGATTTATATTCTGGTTTTTATTTTTTTACTTAGTGATAAAACGTACCTATGGAAGAACCCGAGCTAACTAATATTATAATAAGAATATTATAAAAATGCATTTAAAAAAACTAAAGTTAAAGATCATAATTTTGTCATTCATCTGCGTGTTAACTAACAGTTATGTTAACTGAAACTATAGAATATTAAATTAATCCTAATAGCATTTTTACTTTAATAATCTAGAATTACCTAACAAGTGTTTCCGTATTGCTTGAATCATTCTACAATGTTATCATTGCTATCATTTCCAATTTGAGTGTTATCGTTCATATAGTGTTCGCTATAGGCGAAACCGGTTTATAGATTTGGCAGTCTCATAACTCTGTACCTAATATAAAGCTACAAAAAACTCTAAAAACTTAGGTTTTATAATAACTTTCATCCCCTATTTTACACCAATTTTTAAGGGATGAAGTGGGATGAATTTCGAAAAAATCTAACAAAATGTACCTATTTAATTGTAGTTTCAACTAATTCTGATCACAAATATATTTTTTGGTTGTATAATAATGTGTTTTCCCGTACAAATAAGATAATCTCCCGCGGTAAAAAGTAGCTCTCAGGCCTCCAACTATCTCCACACAAAAAATTGTGCCTATCCGCCACTCCGTTTCGACAATTTGTCTAAATCGGTTCAGCGGATTAAGCATGGAAAGGTAACTGACAGACAGACAGAGTTACTTTTCCATTTATATATTGTGGTGCGGTGGTGCGTTATCGTATGGATTAGTAATATTATGATTTTTGCATGATTATTATTGGTAGGTGAGTTCATAACGATTATTTACATATTTGTTGTATGCAGATTGCAGTTTGAATAAAATCGGATTGAGTTTTCAAACATGTGTCAAAATAAAATGTAATTTAAATCAAAAACACTAAGGAGTATTGATATCAACTTCGAAGTAAATTACCCCCAACATAACCTTCTACCAATTTTTAACCACGTTAGGGGATGAATTTCAATAAAATACGAAGCATGTCTTCCATAAATTTTGTTAAAGAATGTTTATGCAAAATTTGAAGTAGATTAGACCAAGAAATCATGTTGTCGATACAAATTTTGGCCCCCTTTTTCGTCCCCTAAGGGGTAGAATTTCGGAAAATCGTTCTTATCGGATGCCTACGTCATACAAAGAACACTCCCTCTAAGTTTCAGGTCTCTGCGTTCAGCGGCTTAGGCTGTGCGTTGATGTGTTTATCAGTCAGTAATTCAGGATAAAGCATTTTATATGTATATACTAGAGGTATACTTTGATAATAAATATTTACAAGACTTTTCACTTATAATAAGTTGCACTATATCAAGTAAATTGTATGTAGTATTTGAATTAAATACCTAATTTATAGATTTTGTTATACCTCTAACTCAAAATATTGAGTACTCATTATTTATGTAGAAAGTTCTGGAAAATCAGAAAAGTTACTAAGACACCAATAAATATTTATTAAAATAAATAGGTTAAAGGTAAATATAGGTATAATTTATTCAAATCGCCTCTGGTACTTTTATATCGATAGACCTATCCGTAAATCGATTTGATAGTACAGTTGATAACTAAACAGATAACATTATCGATCCATATATTTCGCATTTATACGTAAAATTTTAAGATTATACAAAATATTTCAGTTGTGACGTCCACAACCAATGTCATTGAGGTTATTTATATTATATATATTTATTTGTATCTCTTTGGATTTTACGTCTCTTTCCAGGCAAGACAAAATAAAGAAATTTCAAAGAGCACTGAAAACGCATGGAAGAGCTATTGGGCCATGAAAGAACTAATGAAGAGTAATCTTCCTTTATCCCTTAAGAGAAAAGTCATGGACGTGTGTATACTCTCCATTCTCACATATGGTTCCCAAACCTGGTCTCTAACAGGTAAACAAATATATACAGTCCAAGTTTGCCCAAGAGGAATGGAACGGAGTATACTGGGAATTAATATAATTAACCGTATAAAGATTACCATAATCCTTTCCAGAACTTAAATTACGGGTGTCACTGGCCTGGCCACGTCATTCAGATGTCAGATAACCTTTGGGCCAAACAAACAACTTTTTGGATCTCCCAACACAGCAGACGACAGTCAGACGTGGTAGGCCGAGACGGAGATGGAGTTAGACTCCTTCTGAAGAGAGTGGCTTATTATGGCGAACGATAGGGAGCAGATGAGGAAGAGTATGGAGGCCTTTGCCCTGCAGTGGGACACTTCAGGCTTATAATAATAATAATATAAAATAAAATAGCTTTAATGTATCTAAGAACGGCGAGGACTCCTGCATGGAGTTAATTTAGGTTCCCGTTAGGTATTACAGATTTTAGAATAATAAAATAAGATGTCGCGTTGGCAATGTCTAACCTACTCGTATAACTATGTTTTTTACGAGAGCACTGTAAATATAAGTAATTGTCGACACGTCTTCCTCAAATTACAATGATGATGTCATGTAATAACATCCATTGTTGCATTTTGATTACAATATTATCAAGATATGCTATAACCCGTAAATAGCTAAGAAAATTATGTAGGATCAACTTATCATTAGAAAATGTACAAGCCTCATGAATCATATATCAATAATAATTGATTGATAAAACAAAATAGATATAGAAATTTCTATAAACTTTTACATAAAATACTTACATTTTAATGATAAGGGTACAATTATTATTTTCTGGTACTAGTATCACGATGCTATATTTTAAATATTTATCTACTGGTGACTCACCCTCGCTTCGCTCGGGTTCGTCCCTAGCTTGATTCCCAATAGAAACATCCCATTTTCACCCCCTTAAGGGATGATTTCCGGGATAAAAAGTATCCTATGTCCTTCCTAGGGTCTCAAACTATCTTCTTAAATTTCATCTAAATCGGTTCAGTAGACCCAGAGATTACCACCTACAACGTCACAAACTCACAAACTTTACCTATTTATAAATTAGTATAGATTAGTACCTTTATAGTTATTCCACAAACAAAATATTGCGATTGGTGAAGAAAATCTTAAGATTTAAAGCTTCACACTCAATGGCTTAGAACTTTTTTTTGCTTTAGCAGACATTATAAGCTAATTTGTGTTATTGGTAACTTTTACTAACTAAAAACGGTAATAGCCAATGAAAATATACCAATAGATATCATCTACAAGAAATTTAACAGATAGGAACCAATAATTAATACATTTCTGTGCTTATGATGGTCTCTAAACGGTAAAGAACGCGTGTGCAAATTGCAATTTTAATGTTAAAGAGCGCGCGTTCAACATTAGTAATGTTACTACTTAGCAGAATTTATTTAGTCCTCTTAAGTTATTGTATTCAGCCCTTTTTAACGTCCCGCTGCTGGTCACGGACCTCCCTTCAATACGAGGGGACTCATAGTCCACCACGCTGGCCAAGAGGACGGGTTAGTGGACTAAACATCTGCCCACCTGAGCCTAAAGTGCAGTAATAGACATTTTGGTCGGTTTTGAGTTAATTATATATTCAAAATCCCCATTTTAGTAGCTATCAGTCAAATTAATTCTTTTTTCTGTAGCGCTAATAAAAGTATTTTATTTTAATGTTTTTTCGGAAGGTGTAACAGCAAAAATATCACAAATCTGTTAAAATATTCCATGTTTACCAGCTAAACCGCAGTACAATTAATACTGCATAAGATTTTTCTCTGTTTCCTAACTAAACTGCAGTGTTTTATCATATTTTGTGGCACTTAAAATAGTAGTTTGTTCTAGGAGATTCAAGAAAAAACTTATTAAAATGCAGTATTAACATTCCATACTGCACATTAACTTGTGGGGGAATTTGTAATTTCTTGTGAAAAACTAAAAGACATGCAGTATTTAATAACTTTACTGCAGTTTAACTTGTAGGATGTTTTGTAGTTGCTTGTAAAAGACCATTTAGTTTACAATATTTATAAATTTTACTGCATATTAGTTAGTTTGCTCCATCCAAGTCATACTACCTAAAATACTTAAAGTCAAATACTATTCCCTAATACTGCGTTTTAATAGGTAAAATTATTAAAATATTAAAACACAGGACAGGCAATATCGCGGTTTGAGGCAGTCCTTCTGTCTGTCTGTCTCAAGGATCTGTGGCTTAAGGCTGACTTGACATGCCATGCTATGTACATGCCATGGCATGTCTGTACCAAAGAGATATGGAGGGTAGAACTAAGGAGAACTATTTCTTGTATAAAAAGTGACCGCTGACAAGTATTAAATTGATGGCGCCACAGAAAACAAGTATATGAATCTATACATCTATACAGATAAATAAAATTGTAGTGTCTGTTTGTAATGTCAAAATAAACCTTTTCACTAAATGCATATGAAATTATATACGGTACTTATAAGAAAAACTAATTTTTAAAATTTTTTGTCTGTCTGTTTGTTCCGAATAATCTCTGAAACGGCTGGACTGATTTTGACGGACTTTCAGTGGAAGGTAACTGATGTTATAGGGAGTAATATAGGCTACTTTTATTTTTAAAAAAGAATTAGAGTTCCGCTCAAAAAAAAAAAGTATCCAGGGACGAACCCGAGTGAGGCGAGGGTGAGTAGCTAGTTTAAAACATAATATAATAATAATATAATAATAATAATAAGCCTTTATTCGCCAAGATAACAACACCTAGGAAAAGTTTTATATAAGTTTTAAGTATTACAGTTAAATAAAATTACATTACATACGAAATTACAAATACATAGAATAATACTTATGAATCATAGCTATTATTGACATAATAAAATGAAAATGTTTTTTTTTTTACAAAACATTCCTTTTATAAAAACTATTAATTGTTTTTTTTTCTGTTTTTTTTTATTATTTTTTTTTTAATTCGTTTTTTTTTATTATTATTATATATTTTTTTTATTTATATATCTATATAAGCATATCATATTTTTTTTTTAATTTTTTTTTATAGGGATGTATTTGTGATTAATATTTATATATTATTATTGTTATCTATCTTGGGAACCCATTTTCGGGTATAGGCCTCCTCCATCCGCTTCCATTCTTGTCTGTTCGTCGCGATTCTAGTCCAGGTGGCGCCGGCTACAGCTTGGATGTCGTCTCTCCAGCGCGCGCGCGGTCGTCCGCGGCCCCGGCGTTGCTCGCGCGGCCACCAATGTAGCACTCGCTCGCTCCACCGGCCGTCGGTCGCGCGGGCAGCATGTCCAGCCCATCGCCATTTGAGTCTACAGGCTTCCTCAGCTGCATCTGTCACTTTTGTTCTTTTTCTTATTTCCGACTGACGCTGTCGATCTCTGAGATGAATTCCGAGTATGCTTCTTTCAGCTGCCCTTTGGAAAATTTGTAGCTTATGGATTAGAGTTTTTGTTAGTGCCCATGTTTGGCAGCCGTAAAGTAGTGTTGGTAAAATTATAGAGTCCATGGCTTTCTTTTTCAGTGCTAGTGGTAGTTTGATTTAAAGATGTGTTTTAAAGACCAGTACTTTCTCCACGCCAGTTTTATACGTCGTTCTACTTCTTTTTTTGTATTGTCAGTAAATGATATACTTTGACCCAGGTAAACATATTCTTTTACGTATTTAATATTATTTGATTCGATCATAGTGTGGATTTCATTTGCGTTAGTCATTATATAAGTTTTGTTCATGTTCATTTTCAACCCGCATTTTATGCTTTCTTCGTTGAGTGTTTGGAGCATGTGTGAGAGGTCATTATGGTTGTCGCTTAAGATAACTATGTCGTCGGCAAACCTAAGATGATTCAGGTACTCACCATTTATTTTTATTCCCATGCCATCCCAACTTAGTTTTGAGAATATATATTCTAGTAGAGCGGTAAATAGGTTTGGTGAGATAGGGTCTCCTTGCCTCACTCCCCTCCTTACTTTGAAGGTCTCGCCTACTTGATCGAGTCTTATTTGAGCTGTACTTCTTTTATATATTTCCTTCAGGATCGCTATGTATTTATCTTCTATATTGTTGAACTTGAGAGCTTTCCAGAGTGATTCATGCGATATAGAGTCGAATGCTTTGGCGTAATCTATAAATGCAATGTAGAGTGTTATTTTATATTCGGTAGACCGTTCAATTATTTGGTTTAGAGTGAAAATATGATCAACTGTGCTATAATTTTTTCTGAATCCTGCTTGCTCTTTCGGTTGGTTGAAATCTAGAGTTGTTTTGATTCTTCGCAATAGTATGTTGGTGAATAATTTATATAAGCTTTGTAGTAGGCTTATAGGTCGATAGTTGCCTATATCTAGAGGATCTCCTTTTTTATATAGCAGCGTGATTATAGAATTTTCCCACTCTTCAGGTATCTTATTTTGTTCCATAATTTCGTTAAAGAGATTTGTGAGTATAGGGGCTATAGACTCGGATAAGGCTTTTAATATATCGTTTGTTATTCCATCTTGACCTGGGCTCTTCGACGACTTTAAGGATTCTATACCTGTTCTTATTTCACTTTGAGTTAAAGCCGGGATATTTTCTATATATTCTTTGTGACCGATGTTGTTGTCGATGCAAGTTGGGCTTATGTCAGAGTTTTTGTAGAGGTTTTCATAGTACATGGTCGCTAGTTTAAGTAATCCTGTTCTTTTACTTATTTTGTCTCCTGTGGGTGCTTTCAGTGAAGTAATCCAGTCTCTATGTTTCGACAAACGTTTTTCTGACCGTTTGACTGAGCCTCTATCTTTAAGTTCTTCTTCAATAATTTTATACTTTAGTTGATATTTTTTCTTTTTTATTATTTCTTTTATTTTACGATAGAGTTTTGTTAATCTTTTCCTTTCTTCCTTCGATCTGTGCTTCTTAGATTTTAAGTATACTTTTTCCTGAATTAGTTCTCTTACATAGTCATTAAATATAATTTCATTTTCTGATTTTTCTTTAATTTTTGGTAGTTGGTTGATAATTTCTTTAATTTGTAACGTTAAATCTGTATATTTTTGTTCAGTGTTTTTACCTTCCGTACTATATCTTTCCCGTATTTCAGAAAAATTGCGTTTGATCGTTTCTTTTTCTATGCAGGTGAGCTGAACTTTCTTATGGCCAAATGATTTTCTGTCCTTCTTCACATTGTACTTTAAATTATACACTATCCTTAACAGTCTATGGTCTGTGCTAAAAGTTGTATCAATAGTTTGAATATTGTTTATTTTTCTCATATCCCTTGTTATGACATAGTCAATTTCGTTGCGTACAGCCCCGTCAGGTGATACCCAAGTCCACCTTTTTTTCAAGTTCTTCTTAAAGAATGTGTTAGCTATGTAGAGCTGATATTCAAGGCAGAACTGTATTAAGATTTCACCCCGGTTATTTCTTCTACCATAGCCCCATTTTCCTGTAGTTTTTCCGTCGTCTGACGTAGTTTGTCCTATTTTTGCGTTAAAATCTCCTAGGATTATGGTGTTTTTATTTGACTTCCATAGAGCTGTATTGAGATTTTTGTAGAATTTATCGAGATCTTCCTCGGTTGATTTTTCTGTCGGTGAGTATGCTTGTATTAAAGAGAGACGTTCATTTCCAAATTTAAAGTCTAGTTTAGCAACTCTATCGGAGATGGGCGTAAATTCATCTATATTGGATTTTAAGTGTTTTTTTACCATAAAGCCAACGCCATTTAAGCCTGCCTTTTCTCCTTTGAACATCATTATGTAGTCTTCATACTCTATTATTTTGGTTCCTACTAATTTTATTTCTGACAAGCCAAGTATATCCCATTTTATGTTTTGAAGAGCATATTCAAGTTCATTTTTTCTACCTTCAGCAACAAGAGAGCGTATATTATACGTTATAATATGTAAGTGTTTCATTTGGATGGAGGGTGGTGGTCTACTGCTCCCACGGGGACCGGCCGTATTGGGAGACTTATTTGTTTTTTGTGATATAATATTTTTGTTGCTTGTAGTTGCGTGGAGAGGGGCCTGTTTTAATTGCTAATTTTGTGCTAAGTTTGAAGTAGATGGAGATACTAAATATGACTCTAATGTTTTATTCTTTTTTGCTGTATTTAATATATTTCTTTTTGGTGTTTTTTCAGTTTCCGGGGAAAAAATAGGTTTTCTTTTATTAGTGTTTGTATGGTTGTATTCCTTAATAAATAAATTATTTTCCTGTTTGGTATATAACGTAACTATTTTGTCTCTTCTCATTACTATTTTTTCACCATTTTGTTTTCTACTTCTGTATTCTTCCTGTAGCTCTTTCCTTCTTTGTAAAACTTTTTGAGTGTAGTCTTCTTTTATATAAAGTCCTCTTTCCTTTAAATATTTTCTTAATATGTCTATTTTAAGCCCCATGGTGTTTGTTGTTATTAGAACCGGTCTTATTTTCCCATCTTTTTTTACTCCAATTCTCTTAACATATTCAATATCTCTTTTTTCACAAGGAATTTTCATACTAGTATTAATAATTGAAATAATTTTTTCTTCTAGCTCTTTATACTGTTTTTCCTTTTTTTCAAGACCAAAAAATATTACATTTCTTCGTTTTAATTGATTTTCCATTTTGTCTATAATAGTTTTTTGCTCCTCAATCACTTTCTCCAGGCCCTGGGTTTTCCTTTCTAAATTTTCAAATTTTTTATTTATGTTTGAATTCATTTCTTCAACTATTGCTTCTTTTATATTTGTTATTTCAAGTTTTTGTATTTTAATATCATCTTGAATAGTTTTTAATACTTTCATAATTTCCTCCATAGTTATTAATCAAAAGTTCACCAATAACTACTAAGGCCCTCTAGTGGGTGTTGTAGCTCACTACGTTGTGGTTGATGTGGCTAAGTGGTGTTGCTTGATCGATATTCACAGTAGTAGTGTTAACGTGTTACGATAGATGGCGTTGCATTGTAAATATATTATTTTATATAGAAATAACTAGTTGAATTGTGTTTGAACGTTTGATGCAAGTACGTTATAAGTTATTTCTGTGAATGCCCTCAATGTATTTATAAACTTTTGTTAATTATTATTTTATTATCATTAGGTAATTATTCTGGAACTTGTATCTAAATTATGAAATATGTAGTTATTGATTTACTTGCCAGGTAATTCTCCTATAATTCCTTGTGAGATCCTTTTCTTTACATTGTGTATAGCTGAATTTCCTTATGAATAGCACAAACACGATTTTAAGCACTAAATATATTTTTATTAGTTTTTAACCACTGCTTTCAATTGTACTCATTCCTTGTTAACTTATTTTAACTTTAAACTGTAATTCACAGCACTTAACTGGTTAGATTTTATATATTTAGAAAAATATTACGGAGCTTATTCTTAACGTTAGCACAGTTGCGCCCTCTCTCTCTTTAAAACATAGCGTCATAAAAGTAAGAAGGTGAATTAAACAAGGAAAGAAAGATTTCCGCTTTGCTGTGGCGCACTTTTCAAAATAGTTCTAGCATAGGCAAACAGCAATATAATTATATATTATTTTCAAGTAATAATAATTCAGCACACTTCACTCCGTTAAAAACTACTAACTTCACATCACATCTACTTGCTACGCTAGTGCTGTAACGGTGAGTTTCTGAGCTATAATTTGCTGCTCACTACTGGACACTTTTTCAACTTGTTTCCCATATAAGTTAATTCTTCTTGGTTCTCCCTTCCATAATCTTTTCAGACTATTATTTTTGTAAGACAAGAATATTCATTTAGTAATTAGTTATGTTCGGAAGAAAGATTTTATGTAAATTTTATTGATCCATGCATGAGAAATACATGTGATATAGTTTTATGGTGGATTAACTAGTTAAGATTATCAACATCTTGTAAAGATTGTTATATTGTTAGTCATATAAAACAATTTACACTATTAGATTATAATGTACAATGTTTTGATGAATAGTTTTAATAGCATAGTCATAAATGCATGTCCAGTTTTGTTTAAGAAATTACATATTTTTATCAAAATTAAAGGTAATTTTATATTACTTTAAGTGTGGAATATCAGTGTTTTGTTCAAAAAAACAGATTAAATAGCAGTATTTTCATAATATTACTGCACTTTAGTTAGTAACAATCATGGAAGAAATGTCTAAAATGCAGTAATAACAGGATTTACTGCATTTAAAACAGTTTTTGAAAACATTATACAAATAAAGTGTGTGTAGTAATAGGGGCTAAAAAATTAAAATTGCCATAATTATAGTTTTTTATAAAAAAACTAACGTAACAATGTTTAGTATTTTAGTTTGGTACATATTCTTTCACTTTCCATTCAAGGTTTTATCGAAAAGTCTCTTTTTGATATATTTTTATGGATTCTAAACTTTAGGCGCGTTTTTCTCGAATTCGTGTTTTTGCTGTTACTGCACTTTAGGTTCGGGAGGGCAGACATGTCCTATGTAAAGATATACAAAAGAAGGGGAAGTAATCTTTGATGTTCTTATAGCATATACTTCCAGCAAAATACAAGAAATTAAAATTATAATACGAAAAAATCTGAAAAGATAGTTTTATTTAAAGGTATGTTTAAATTAAGAGGAGAAAAAAAATGAATATATGTACATATGTGCGTTAGATTAAAAAACAAATTTTGACTTATTTTGACAGTCTTTGAATAACATACAAACGAACGTTGTAATCAACTCCTACAGCAAATTGAACGCAATTACTCTTAATAGTAATTTTGCAATGGATTTATTTATTCGGATCTACTCATATAAATGCGATATTGTTATTCTTTCATGCTGAAAAATAGATGAAATATACGTAATATAATACATAGAAATATAGTAGACATACTCTGATCTTTTTTTTGGACTTCCCTAGGATCGCTTACGCTAAACTACGACGCCCCGACGGCAGGAGCACACGACCAAGATGTTGCTTCTACGGCCCAATCTACTGTCAGAGAAGTACCAGGAGCAACCTGCCTGACCTGAAGAACCTGAACAAAAAAGGAGACATAGTCTGACCTGGAGTAACACACACTGTTTGGCACTTAACTCTTAAGGACGCATTCGAGCGAAGCAAGTGTAAATCACTAATTGTCTATATAAGGGATACTTAACTGATTCTGTGTAATCGAATCATAGGTATGACAAGTACCTATATGTCTGAGTACATACCATTGCTGCCATTGCTAGATTTAAATAAGTATTTTAACAAAATATGTAAATTAATAAAAAAATCTATACATATAATAAAATTGTAACTAAGCCGAATCTGTACATTAAATATTTTTTAGAAAATCTTATTGAAATAGACATTATTATCGATACAGAGGCCGAATCTATAGTTTTTAGAATTTTTGTCTGTCTGTTTGTCTGTCTGTTACCGCATCACGGAAAAACCACTGCAGGGATTTTGATAAAATTTGGTATGGTGATAGCTGGTTATTCAGGTCAACATATAGGTTACTCTTTACGGCGGGAAAATGTCTCATTTCTGAGAAAAAATACAAAAACTGCAATGTAAGAGTATACTAATATGTAAAACCTAAGAATTTGGAAACCTAGAAAAAATCATTGTAGAGACTCAGCGTCGCTTTGCTCGGTTTCATCCTTAGGTACGCTTTGACGCTTAATATGGAATAGATAGGCTATATGTACATAGGTATGATGAGTTTTATATCCCTTACTTAAGAAATGATTGCTTCCCCATATAAACTTCCACCCTCCTTTTCACCCTCTTAAGAGACGATTTGCAGGGTAAACTGTCCTACGTATGTCTTTCCTACGGTCTTAAACTATCTCCATACCAATTTTAATCTAAATCGGTTTAGTCGTTTAGTCGTGAAAAGGTAACAGACAAACAAACCAGCGAACAAAGTTACTTTCGCATTTATTAGTTTCGCATTTTTATATTATAATCCGGATAACTTTTTGGCGAGGAAAAATAATCTTTGTATAAATATCCGTAGTAAATATCACAATAATGTACATCATGGCACTGCATAAGTATGCAAGGGCGGGCAATTAGATAATTATCTAATTATAATTAGGAAAGGCCTTGTCGTTCTCTGAAAGAATTCATAACATTAATTGAATACTAATTTATTGTTGCTTTAATTTGATAATTTTATGTAGTGATTATGGAGGCTAGGGGAAGGAAGTTTAAAGCATGATTCGATTTTAAATATATACATTACCCAGAAAGTAAGCTAATGGGGGTTAAAAATTATGATACTAACATAATATTCAACTTGTTTTATGTTATATAACTTTTTGACTGTGTAAAGTAATATTTAAAGTGAATGTGTTCGCGGTTGTTTTTTTTACTTGACTGCAGTGAAGCCTAACGGAGGGTTATGTGTTTGCCCTGTCCGATATATGTCCGACCCTATATTTCCTTGTAATTACTAGGTAACGGCTTAACTAATTTTGATTATTCATATGTCATTCGATAAGTCTTATTTATTGATAATGCGGTTGTCATAGAGTACCTATAATATAGATATCATTAAAAATCAAAATGGCGGATTTAAGGCGCCAATTTGTGTCTTCACAAAATTTTTGTTAAATAAAACTAAAAATGTCTAACTGACCAAACCTAAAAACTAAAAAGCCGTAAATAAAAAAAAATAAAAATATAAAAGCAACTGTATTAAAAACGAACTAAAAAGATGAGAACAAGTTGACGAAGGGACAAAGTAATAAGAAATAGGAGACATACATACATGTGTACATAGTACATGTTTTACTAATGGTAAGCTTGTGCAACCAGTATATACCAGAAGGCATAAATATCAAAGTCAAAAACTTTCATGACGCTGTAGGCCTTGCCTGCTCTGTAAGCAACGCTGGATTTACACTAGGGGCACTCGGGGTTAGTGCCCAGGGGGGCAAATTTTCAAGGGCGGTAAAATTCGAAGGATAAATAAAAAAAATCTTCGCGTTATCGAAAATATTTTCTAATTATTTTCCAAAAAATTAATAATTAAAAAAACTATCCTTTGCATTTATCAAAAATTAAAAAAAATTGAACTTTATCGAAACTTTATCCATTTTATGCAAAATTTCGATAATGGGGCGGCTTTTCTTATTGTGCCCAGGGGCGGCGTTAAGGTTAAATCCGGCACTGTCTATAAGCTAATATTATGTAATAAACATATATCATATATGTGTTCATAATCTTAAGTAATATACACACAGTAAGCAATTATAAATAAACTAGCATGACCAAAAACCAAATTCCAAACCAATTAAGTGATAAGTACATATTAGGATTTTCCATTTTATTGTTACATTGCAGTTTTTGTATTTTTTCTCAAAAATAAGTTATTTTCCGCGGTAAAAAGTATCCTATATGTTGACCTGGATAATCAGCTATCACCATACCAAATTTCATTAAAATCCCTCCAGTGGTTTTTCTGTGATGCGGTAACAGACAGACAGAGAAAAATTCCAAAAACTATAGTTTTGAACTCAGTATCGATAATAATGTTTATTTCAATAAGATTTTCCAAAAAATATCTAATGTGCAGATTCGGCTTAGTTAAAATTTTATTATATGTATAGATAAATAAGTATGTTGGGACATTATCACACCGCACTAGTTCACATCTAGTTCCATGGTAAGCTATGAGGCTTGTTTTATGGATACCAGATGCATAGTTGATACACTACTCATATATTACTTTATGTTAAATACATGCATATTATAAATATAAACCCCCCTGACTGGAGTGCAAACATTTAAGCTCATCAAACAAATGAATGCCCCCAGCGGGACTCGAACCCGCGACCGCTGCACAGCAAGTAAGGTCAAAACAAACTGAGCCAAACGTGTCGTCAACTACGAAGAAAAGAAATTGTTGAAATAAAATCATTTACCTTTATGATTTATATATTTTTATTATTTGTCAGCATATACATAATGTTATTTACATAATTATAGTACTACACTAAAATAATCATATAACATTAAATTTTAATTAACAGTATAAAAAATGTTTTAAAAGACAAAAATATCGAAAGTGCATCATATTACAAGACATAATCAGAGATATACATATATCAGAGACATATCATAAGACATATTCCGCGATAAACAGTAGCATTCCTAAGGAGGGTTGACGTCAGGCAGGCGGCCGGTCGTAAAACTTTTGCCAAATCCTTTCAGCCCTACAGAAGATGTACTGCGCCGATCCCAAGTGATTGGGAATTGGGCAGGGAAAAGAAGAAGAATCTACTAGTTAATATAAAAAAGTTCGGCAAAACAAGTTTTCGTAACATATGTTTCATGTTACGAGAAATTATGTAATATAAATTATTATTAATTAAATATAGTAAAACCTATAAAAATATTCAATCAATTACCATCACGCAATTAATTCGTGATGTACATCTGAATCACGTTTGATCAGTTTTTATTATATACTTACTGCTTTATTATATATAGATATGTGAAAGTTTGAATGTGTTTGTAATTTGTATCTCTCTTTCACTCTGAAACTGGACTGATTTGGATGAAATTTAGAACATAGATAGACTTTGACCTGAAGTCACACAATCTATTAGGCAGCTAGGGATGTACCCAGGTGAAGCGAGGATAAGTCGCTAGTAATCTAAAAATTACAATTAAAAAATGTAACTTTTAAAGGTAGGACGGACGAATGATGTGCATAATGTCAGTAGCAAGGTTCCAACTATACCATGACGTGTACGGAACCCTAGAAATGAAAAAATAAACACTTACATGTATATATAGGGCGAATGATTGAAACGACGGATTCGTTTATATTATATGAGTACGACTAGGTATTATTATATTATATTCTATAATAACTATTTTAACTAAAAATTATAAATTATTTAAATTAATAAAGTCTTTTTAAGATATTTTCTCATTACAATTAAGTTTTACACTTTTTTCAATTGAAGCTTTAATAAGTACTGACTCACTTTCACAATCTACATAATTTAACTCATTTTGAAATGTATTATGTTTAAAATAATATTCTATTTCTTGTAATGTTCTACCCTTAGTTTCTGGTAATTGCAAATAAATATAAAATAAACAAATAAATACGATCGCGGAATCTAAAAAAAAACACTCCATGATAACCTATACTGGCAAACATTTTTGTAGCAAATTGAATGTGGAGAAATTGTGCCACGCTGACAATAGCCCCTAAAAATAAACAGTTAATAGTCTTTATTTCTAAAGGTTGCAGTTCTGTTAATAACGTTTCGAGTACCGAATAAGGACCTGCTGTAACAGTAATATAGTATAGAGCCAATAAAGACATTTTAACCCACGCCATGCGCTGATCTTGCCAGAGATAAAGGCTAAGTGCAAATATTATTTGAATACTATTTGATATAATTCCAGAGGAAATTAATAAAGGTCTCATTTTAAATTTAGATACGAGTAGGCAAGATATTCCCGAACCAATTAGAGCGAATCCATCAACCATAAAAGTATATTCTATGATATCCGTAGTATCTGTAATATCATGAATTATGGTAATGGCTAAAGTACTCAACAAGATTCGTCCAGCAGCCACTCTGTAAAAACAGATTGTAATCGTCAATAATGCCGTTTTCCAATAGTATCTCGTCTTACACATCTCTATAAATTTTTTCACCAGTTGTATAAAGGGATTAGATCCTTTAGGGATAATATTCTGGTTTTTTTGACAATTTATAAGCGTTCTTAATTCTCTTTCGGATGCTTCAGTAGAAATGTGAAGAGCCTTAAATGCCTCTTCACACTCATCGAATCTCTTATGTGTAGCTAACCATGAGGGGCTTTCTACCCAAAATAGGGGCATAAATGCTGACAAAGCTGACGGTATTAAACCTATAAGTGCAACGTTTCTCCAGTGCATAAAAAGACAAAGTACATGTCCAAGCATTGTTCCTAAAGATGTTCCAATGCCATACGTGATATTCAAACAAAATGATCTCATATTAGGAGACACGTATTCGCCAACATTTATATACGTCATTACAAGAATACCTCCAAATGCTAAGCCCACAATAGCTCTACTTGCCAATAGCATTGACTTATCCTGAGCAAAATATACCATCAACCAGCAAATTAGAACTGGGATGGATATGATCGTGAGGGTTTTTCTTCTTCCAAGAACTTCTGTCAACCCTACCAGTACAGCAAAACCAAAAAAGCAGGTTATATTTACTATTGCAGCTGAAAACAGAATAGTCACATTAATGATTTTATCATTTTTTAATGATTTATACTCGTCACTTATAAGTTCCTTTCAATATTATTCGATTTTTGAAATATAATAACTAATAAGTTTGACTTAATTTTTTCTACCTGTCAAAGATCGCTGCTTAGGAAGTGTTCGAGTCAAATTTAAAAAAAAAGTACTAATTCGTACAATGAGTCGGTATTAAATAAATTCTTTTACCTATAGTAGATATGTCATCATCTGTTAACTTTATAGTGCTGCTCTCGTCGCGCAAAGCGTCGATCATGCCGGACATCTGACCAAATATGAATCCGTCTGAAACAGCGCATAGTGCTAGCCCGCTAACTACCAGCACCTGTAATAATTAATTAACCGATACTGTTGACAATAATAATATATTAAAAAAACTGGAATAGGTAACTCTCGACTTTTGTACAGTCAAGTTTTAAAGACATTTTGGTTTTTGTCGTGACTCAACTCGCATTATAGATGTACGTTTTGAACGAAGTGATCCGTTTTATGATTTCAGAATATTTATACAATATTATTGTGCTCGCATTGATAAAAAGCTTAAGCAATAATTAATCAAAACGTACGTAACATTTAATCTTCGGAACAACTAAACGCATTTATCGTCGTTTTATTCGCGGACAGGAAGGAAGGTTTTTGTAAGAAAATGAAATGTAGTGTATTTAAATATTTATAGTATAAAGACATTAACATAATAAAAAAAATACCTGACGAAGAGTTTGCTTATGTTTCATGATCATAAATCAGTTGTATCTGTATAAAAATTCCCTTTGTGAATAGATGTCGTTAAATCACAGTATCACCTGTAAGCGAAAATTTAAAAAAAAGTTATATTTGTGTATATATTTAGGTATATGTGGCCCTATATTATACTTCGGCCAAGCCCGAAGTAAGTTTTCGAAAGACATGTGAAGTCCGCCAACGCGATCTTGACCAGCGTGATGGAGTATTACCTGATCCCACTCGCATTTATAGAATGAGACTTTTAAGTTTTAACGTACGATAGAGTTTGTGATTTTTAAATTCAACAATTTAACATTTACAAAAATGAAACATGAAAAAAAGCATCTTAAATAAAACTATCTTTTCTTTTTAAAAAGCATTTTAAATAAAATTATCTTTTTTTAAAAGAAGTTAAAAGTATTTATTTATATTGCTATTATTTAAAGTTAAAATGTTAAGCAACACTATTGCTACCTTTATAAACATTTTTTTTAAATTATATATAAAACAATAATATTGCTTAGATAAATAATTAATATTTTTAATTTTTAATATTCTTTATGGTTACACATAATATAATAATAGCAACACTAAATAATATTAGTAATTAATAAAGTTTTTTAAAAATTGTAATATTTATAATAATAACAGCAAAAATTAAATAAATAATATTGCTTTATTTAATTATAATATTTATTAAAAAAATTTAAATGTTTAGAAATAAAAATCAACAAATATTGTAAGGTACTTTATTGCCATTTTTTGAATCTTTGAAATCATTTTTGTAAAATAGTGGGTAGGTACTGTCTGTAACAAGTATGAGTTTGAGACGTCTATAACCTTAGTCTCTCCCGTGACAATGATTGCTGTAAAGCATTCGAAACGTTGGGAACCAAAAATCAAAAAAAATCACGAAATAATCCGAAAAGATCGTTTTTTTTTAAATGTCAAATATTCGCGTAAATCTAAGAAAGTACTATGGAAAAAAGCACTTTGAATTTTTTACCGAATTTCTCAATTTTTATACGTAACCTTCCCAATTTTCTTCCTAAAAGCCTTATGAGGATTATTTTAAAAATAGCCCAATCAGTTTGAAAAAAATAGCCCTGTCGTTAAACTGTCCTCAAGTGATGCGAAAGTCTTATCAACGAACTGTCAGTTTTATTTTCCTAACATAATTAATTTTAATTTTTAACTAAACACTGTCTTTGCTATTATCTATTTATTAATAAATTGCTTTTTGAAAGAACCATTTCAATAAATATACTTAAGTATAATTAACAAATATAATAAAACGACATATAATTATTAACAACACTTAACAACAACTGTTGTTAGTACAATTTTATTAATACTTAAGAAAACTAGTGTACGCCAAGTGGTCGAAATTTGACTATTTGAGGAAGACATGAAAGGAATTTATCTATATAATAAAAAACAAACTGTTTCCAAATGTTTTTTATTGATAACTCTAAAGCTCACCAAAAGAAAGAAAATTGGCTGACAGAGGTGGTTTACCTCCTCTGGTTACCTTTAGGTACCGAACTTTTTTTACCCGACTGCGCCAGAAGAAGGGTTATGTTTTTCAAGTGTATATATATATATATATATTTATAATAATATGTACATATATATGTATACTAGCATTACCCGCGGCTCCGCTCTCGTTCAGATGACCAAAAACCAAATACTTAGGTTTTATATATTAGTATAACTCTTATATGACAGTTTTTGTATTATTTCTCAGAAATGAGATAGTTTCCCGCGGTAAAAATATCCTATATGTTGACCCGGATAACCAGCTATCATCATACCAAATTTCATTAAAATCCCTCGAGTGGTTTTTCCGCGATGCGGTAACAGACAGACAGACAAAAATTCTAAAAACTATAGATTTGGCCTCTGTATCAATAATAATGACTATTTCAATAAGATTTTCAAAATATATTAAATGTTCAGATTCGCCTTACTTAGAATTTTATTATATGTATAGATTATAATTAAAATAAAAATTAACAACGTCAAATCAAAATTTATTGTATGTTAAAAAAAACTCCTTTTTTTACCGGTCATTCTATAGATAACATGCCTTCTCCATTCTACACGACATTGGCGAAGTAAATTGTGCCCAAAGTCACTAATAGAATAGAAGCCATGAAACTAAAAAATTGAATTGAAAAATTTATTTCATCAAATGTATCCGAAAATTATTACATTAGAACTTTGAGTAATAGTATAAAAAATTGTTTTAAAAGAAAACAATATCGAATGTGCATATTACAAGACTTCCGCGATAAATAATAGCACTTCCAAGGAGGGATAGTATTTAGCGCGTATATATATATATATATATATATATATATATATATATATAAATATATATATAAATCTAATACTAATTTATTTGTATATAATTTATGAACGGTCTGAAAAGATTTTTCATTTTAACCCTGTAGCCATATTAAAAACACGGAAAAAGTCTCTGGCAAAAGTTCATTAGCATATCGAAAATTTTAAAGCATTTACATTATATTAAAAATGAAATGCATATAATACTTTCTTAGATTTACGCGAATATTTGACATTTTAAATAAAACTATCTTTTCGTTTTATTTCGCGGATTTATTTTGCTTTTTGGTTCCCGACGTTCCCGAATGCTTTACAGCAATCATAGTCACTGGGGAGACTAAGGTTTTAGACATCTCAAAGGCGTTATATACTTGTTACAGACAGTGCCTATCCACAATTTTAGTAAAATGATTTTGAATTTTTGAAAGTTTAGTTAATGAAATCAATATACACTTACTTTACAATAAAATCTAGGAAAACTAACAAAACTTCAATTAATCAAATGAAGCTTATTGTTCACTGATGTGCGCCCCGCACACGAATCGACAAACTACTACACGGGTGATAGTGGAGATGGATGTTTTAAAACCTTCATTTCAATTTTTCCTCACTATCATCCTGATTTCCTATATCATCATCTTGTTATAAATTCAATAATTTTCTTCGGAAAATTATGTCCATTTCACAATATCGTGATTATTAAATCATAAGTTACCAGAATTCGTAAAATAAACTTACTAAGATAAAACAAAAAAAAACACACACACACACACATAGTGCACTATTAAATCTCCAATTTCTCAGTGCGAGATTGGTTGCCATTAAAATTGTCCTCGGGTCGAAGCTCCCTCGATTCAGCTTGAGCCTATGAATGGGCATTCATCAATAATTGAAAATGATTTATGCATGAAAATATCAGATTGTCATGTATAACATAATAGATATGTACGTACGCACTAGCGATATATAACTTACGTTTAGTAGAGATTTCTCAAAGATTAGATATTTTCCCGCAATAAAAAGTATCCTATATATGACCCGGATAGCCAACTATCATTATACCAAATTTCGTCAAAATCTGTTCAGTAGTTTACTTGTGATGCGTTCCCGACAGACAGACAGACAGATAAAAATTGTAAAAACTATAGATTCGACCTCTGTGTCGATAATAATGTCTAATAAAAAAAATTCTAAAAATTTTTTTAATGTACAGATTCCACTTAGAATTTTATTATGTATACCATGCCACTACATCAAGAGAATCTAGAGGATGATATACATATGTATATTTGCATTTGTTTTTGTTTTTTTTTGTAAATTGAAAATTTCACAAATGTACCCAGTAGGTGGCGCTGCAGTCGGCGTGGCACTGATCATCTCCTAAACGGCAGGGTTGATTTTAATAATATTTTTTGTGTATGTTGGAGTACCCACTCGGTTTGCACACCCCTGCAAGGTTTGAATTCACAAATGGATCTGATAGGTAGCGCTGCAGTCGGTGTGTCACTAAATTTTCATAAAAGACTCCCATTTTCCGAGCAATAAATCAATTTAAATTGTTGATTAAATAGCATAAAAATTGATGTGTGTATGTATGTTTCCTATGGATTCCAAAACAGCTGAAGCAATTTTGATAAAACTTTCATGTAATCTTCAGATTAACCCAGCGAGTGATCCTGTAAATTTTGTTAGTAATCGGAAGTTTGGACGCGGGCGAAGCTGCAGGTACTGCTAGTAAACTATTGTTAACTGAATTGTTGACATCAATTTTCCAAATTATTCTTCTTTAACTCCAATAACAACGGTCGATCTTAACTGTCAAAAAATCTCCTTAACCTAATGCGATCAAAATGCAAGGATCATTTTCTTAATGTGCTAATTAAAGCTAAAAATTTCGAGGTTTTCCTTAAAGTTTACCGTTGAGTGTCGTTAATTAATTGCATATCAAAATCGTGCTATTTTTTGTATAATTCTGCCATAAATTGTAAGTGATTTATGAACAAGGATTTTTTACTAATTATTGTAAATAATTAGTATATACTTTGTAGTCGAGTGCCATTAGTCATTATAAATGAAATATGACGGAACCCAGTTGTAATGAATAGATTGGAATGATTTGCAAGATGTAAAAAATGAGCCCTATCTGAAAATTGAACGACTGTTTTTTTATTAAATGTAAACATCCACTTGAAGTCGGGGCTGATTTTAAGCCTCCCGAGACCATAAAATATAAATTTGAATATAATATTACACATTTCAATTTCATAAAAAAATAGATATTATATGTATTTTCGAAGATTATATTCCCCTAGTTTTATAAAAATCTAAAAATAATTGCAGAAATTAAAAATTAAAAAAAAACAAGAAAAAATAAAAAACTTTTTTTTTAAATATGTCGAAAACTTTGAGGTCGCACTTTCATATCGCTAGTAAATTATTTTTCCTTTCATTTTTGTTATATTCTCTTCCTTTTCCAATAGGTTTCAACCTACTATTATTTTTTTGTTTCAAAAATTATCGACCCTGGTCTAATATAGATGTCTCAACTTACATTGGCAGCGTCTTTTCTGAAATTATCAATTTTTGAGTTTGTTGTGTCCATATAAACTTTCAATCATCATCGTTTTACAAACTACATAATTAATATAATTAACGAAAGTTT